GAAGGCAGCATGCTCTTTCTCCCCCCACGTAAAAGCGACCCCCTTACGCAGTAAATCAGTTAGTGGGGCTGTTAAACGTGCCATGTCGGGCACGAACCGTCGAACGTAATTAACAAACCCTAAAAAACTCTGCAGTTCCGTGATGTTTGTCGGGGGGCGCCACGCTTTTACCGTATCCAGCTTCTTTGGGTCGATCTCAACCCCAGCCTCGGAAATGACGTGACCTAAAAACTCTAGCCTATCCCTAAAAAACTCGCACTTGGAGCCCTTGGTGAGCAGCCGATGTTCCTCTAAAACCTTAAAAACTGCTTCGAGATCTGCTAAGTGTTGCTGCTTATCCCGACTGTAAACGAGGATATCGTCGAGGTAAACGATCACGCATCTATCTAAAAGTGGTCTAAACGCCTCGTTCATGGTCATCTGAAAAGTCGCAGGCGCGTTCGTCAATCCGAAAGGCATTACTGTATACTCGAATGACCCGTACCTAGTCCTAAATGCTGTTTTTGCGCAGTCCGATGGTTCGACCCGAATCTGATGGTAACCTCCCCGTAAATCTATTTTCGAAAAGACACGTGCTGTTCGCAGTTGGTCAATGAGTTCGTCGGCGCGGGGGATGGGGTATCGCGATTTGATTGTTACTCGGTTAAGCGCTCGGTAGTCGATGCACATGCGAAAACCTCCGTCTTTTTTCGGTGTGAACAGTATGGGTGCGGCGAACGGTGACGAGCTCGGTCGAATAAACTGCTTCTCTAACAGGTAATCTAACTGCTTCCTTAACTCGTCGAGCTCGGGCTGTGTCAGTCGAAATTGCCGCTGTACTGTTGGCTGTGCCCCCGGTTCTAGCTCGATCCTATGGTCGTGCACTCGCTGAGGTGGCAGTCCCTGTGGTAAATCATCCGGAAATATCCCCGGGAACCGTTTCAGTAGTGCTTGTAATTCGGTCGGTACGGCTGCTAGCAGTTTCTGAAAATCGTTCTGCTGCTCGTCTTTTTCTACCACTGCGATATCCACTGCGTACACGTCAGCTCCAGCAGCGACAGCTCGTTTCATCGCGATGGCGTTGACCTGGACTGTCGAAGATTCGGGTGGCCGCCAGCGAGGTAGGACGACCCAGTTACCACTACTTCGCACTGTGCAGCTCCCCGTCGTCCAGTCGATCCGTGGGTTGTACCGTCGCAGCCAATCACGTCCCAGTAAAATGTCGTGCCCATCCAGCGTCGTTGCGAGCATTTCCTGTGTAAACCCGAAGTTTCCCCCGCAGCGGACTTTTACTCGCTCCACTTTTTCTCGTATGGCCAATGGCGTGCCGTCGACTAAGCGTGCATCTATCTCAGGTAAACATCGGTTAAGTGTTAACTGTAATTTCCGTGCGGTTGCAGTATTAACTAAGCTGTGACTTGCTCCTCCGTCAATGAAGATTTTCACTGCTGCTCCCTGTATTTTCCCGTAGATCAGTACCGGGCAATCCGTCGCTGTACCCTCCTTATTCATCCGAGCCCGATCGATGGCGTGAATCGGTACTGTGACTCGGTGAGGGTCGGTGTGGTTGGGCGAGCAGGCAGTCTCGTCAGTAGTTGGCCCAACTTCTACTGACTGCTGGCGTTTCCCTGCCTCTGAGACTCCTTCCCCTGCTCTGCTCCTCGACGCCTCAGCTCCTCTGGACATTCGCTCTTGCGATGGCCCGGCCGGTTGCAAGCAAAGCAGCGCCCTCTAAATGGCGTGGCAGCTGCATTCGTTGCGACGGCATGTACAGTGGCGTGCTCGATCGGTCCCCGAGGGCGATGTCCGAAATAGGACCCCGGTCTCGGTCGGCGTAGGATATCGATTTTCTCGGCGAGCGCGAGGATTTCGTTGAAATTCGATAGCCCGCGTAGCATTATCTCGTGCGATATGTCCGGCTTCAGCCCTCCGACGTAACGGTCCACCCGCTCCGCCTCGTGCATGTAGCCGACCTGTTCGCAAAGTGCGAGAAAACCGCTGGTGTAGTCTTGAACCGACCCGAGCTGGCGCCAAGTGCGCAGTTTCTGACGCGCCGAAATCGAAGCCGCGATCGGCTCAAAACGCGCCCGAAGCCCTGCGCACCACGCATCCCACGTGCTGTATTGGGCTGTTTCGCAGAACGAACTCCAGGTGACAGCTGGACCCGAGGGCCCTTCCTCGTGCGGCGGTGGCTCGTAGGCGCGTGGCGACGTCACGATGACTCGCCACCAGTCCATGGCGGGGCCCCTGAGTAGTGAAACCGCATACCGAATCTTGGCGGCGTCCGACTCGACGTAGTTGGCGTCGAAAAACACATTCATCGTGAAGACCCATGATTGAACTGTCGGGCCGCCGCGTTGGCTTGGGTCGAAGCAGGGCGGGCGTTGCGGCTTGAGTGGCATTGGGGCCATCATGGCGTTTTCACCACTTGTCGTCGCAAACTCCACGTGCCGACGGGCTTCTCGGGGCTCCCGTGGGCTTAGCGTGCTCCTGTTCCCTCCCATGCCGGGCATCGGTTGGGCTGCGCCGTCACTGGCTGCGCCTGAGCGCTGTCCCGTGCTGTTGTGTTGCGTCGGTGTGCCGGATGAAATGATAATCGGCTCCTCCGAATGTACAGAGACATTGGTTGGTGCGTGGGATGTTGTCGGAGCATTCACCGCTGACTGTTGACGGGCGGAGTCACGTTCCGCCGTGAGCGTCGCGATTTCAAGCGCCGAATCCTCCAATTGTCGCACGAGACGATCGAGTTGCTCCTGCGTCAACGTGGCGAGATTGAGGTCGGCCATGGCGGGGGTGTCGGGCAAGCTCAGCGAGAGCCTCGGTCGTGGCCGTGCGTGCTTGCGAGAGAGCACTTCGAGCGGCGGTGCTGTGTCGCTGAGAGACGTCTACCCCCCCCAAAAATTGAGATAGTGGGAAGCGAAGGTGTGGATGCGGTCCGAGATGAGATCGTAGGCTCTGAATACCAAGTGTTACGTGTGCAATTGAGTGAACGAACGAGAATTGCACTATCGAAGCAAAAGTACAATGAGCGAAGGCATGAGCGAAGGATTATATAGCGAAACAATAGTGGTAACGGTAATGGACTGTGGTTGTCGCGCGTCGAGCCTGAGACTGAGGTTGGGAAAGTGTCGAAGCGTAGGCCCGGAGCGCGGGTTACCAGCCGAGCCGTGAGGTCGGGATGCGATGTGCGAAAAAGGCGGGATGATGAATGATGCGATGGTCGCGAGTGGTAACGGTGCTGACTGAGGTGCTACAGTGACGTACGCGCTGGGCAGGGACGCGAAGTAAGGAAAAGGGAATTTCCTTACACAAGCAAACAACAATCAAGTCAGAACTACGTAAAAAGATGACTTACTTCATACGTTTAGAATCGTATCCATACTTGACAAGCACCTGCACTGTATCTGATCAACGTTCGCTTACAGCGGGTTTTGTCAAGGATGAAGCGATGGAGAAACGGACGGACGCGATGGCACGAGTGGATAACGACGGAGTAACCGCCATTCGACGTTTTTCACTGTTGCGCCACGAGTCTCTTTCCGCGACGTTACCCTTCTGACTTGATTTCGTCACTCCAATCGGTCGCAAGTGCACCAGTTGAACAAAACCGCAGAGCAGCTGAAGATCCTTGTTGCGCCACGCAGAATCGAAGCAGGCACGCTTCTGTTTCATCGCGCCTCGTTCGATTGCGAGACACTGTCGGCGCTGGCGAACTTAGTAACGAGTGAAACGAAGTTCGTACTGAATCCACAACAGCCCCATCCTTCATGCGAATGTTTGAAACTGACACATTTGCGGAAGTCTCCGCACTGCTGGTAGCAGACGCAAGCGGGACACTGGCTGGCGATTGGCTGTGGTAGGCGCAAAAGGGGCTGGTGGGGTGGGCGTGGGATGCTGACTGCTTTACATGGTGCCAATTGGTGGATTGCATTGGAATGCTGTGCGCGACGCGAGCCACGCCAGCAAAACTTCCGCATCTTGGTTGGCGCAACAGACAAGAGGAGGGAAGGGAAGGAGAGTTGGGCGGGGGAAGAGTGGCCGGAGGGAGCGGGGAGTGTGCTCGCGGGGCCGCAAATAGCGTGGCGCAGCGCAGACGAGAGGCGCAATTTGGTTGGCTGGCTGGCGTTTCCCTTGAAGGCTGCCAGACTGCCACACTGCCGCTGCAAGACTTCCCTTTTCGTTGCACCCGCTGAATTCAGCTGGCCCCTTCTCCATTCCGCGCCTTTCCTTCCCCCCTTCCATCCATCCTCAGAACCCAGTCTCCATTTCCCAACCCAATCCCCGCAAATTCCCCTCAATCCCCCATTTTCCGCCTTAGCGTAAACCCCGCACCCCGTTCGCCTCCCATCCCATTCCCCCATTTGACGTTTCCCAATTGCGCCGGATCGCGATTTGCGAAGCAGTCAATCCAGCTGGAGGCTGGCTGGGGGGGGGGGGGGCGGGCTAGGGACTTCACCTGAGGGCGCCCCTCGATTGCACGGACAGTCTAAAACTCAGGCGATCGTCGCGTGGTCGGCCATGCTGACGACAACTGCAGCTGAACACCAGAAATCGGTAACGACAAGGCCAGCTGAAAGCAAGCTGAACGGAGAACACGCGGAGCGAAGCTCGATGTGAGGTCAGAAGGGACTCTGGAGGAGGGCCAGAGAGACTCTAGTAGGGTCAGAGAGACTCCGGTTACTACTACAGTACAAAATGAGATCGTACTATTTGCTTGACCTTGAGCAGTGGTTCTTATCCACGGTGACCGTGTTCCATAATCCATTGTATCTCGATTGCACCTGCACAGTTTCTCGCGGATACTTCAAGGTGAGGTCTTCCCACGTTACTAGTCCCAGCTCCTCGCACAGAATGCGGGAAGGGCAAGAGAGAACCAAGGCACTTACTCGCGAAGCGCACGCGAACAGCGAAGACTTTTAGAAGCCGTCGCAGGCTGTCTCTGAAACAAAAAAGGAGGAAATATCGACGTCCGTCACCGCGCTAGCACTATCCCTTCACTCAAATCGCCCACACGCCGCGCCATGGGCTGCTACTCGCCTTCTCAAACCGTTCCTAGATGTCTCGAGCCAAGCACAGTCCAGCCAATCACAGCCAAGCCCATAACCGCGGAGCCAATCACAGTGGACGTTTTCCCCGCGGTGTTTCTCGAGCGCGATTACGAGTTCATGGGGGAAATCGGCAGCGGGCAGTACGGCAAGGTCTGGAAGTGCCGCTCGCGCCTCACCGGCCGGCAGTTCGCCTGCAAACAGGTCAAGAAGCGGCCGGCAAGGGCGGCACGGTCGGCACAGTCGGGACGGGGACAGCAAGGGCGGAAGGACTCTGCGCAGCGGAAAACGCGGGAGAGAAACGGCGGGATGGCCGGCGCGGACGGCGCAGCGGGTTCAGGAGATGACGTGGACCCGATTGAGCGTGAAATTGCGGCGCTGACTCATTTGGAGGGTTGCGACGGCGTCACGTCGCTACACGGCGTGTTTGAGGACGCCACGTCGGTTTTCCTCGTTATGGACTTGTGCGATAGTGGCGACTTGTTCTCGCTTATCGCGGACACGGACGGAGTTCCCGAGGACGAATCACGTCAGCTGTTTGCTGACGTGGCGCGCGCGGTGAAAGAATGCCATGACAGGGGCGTGTTGCATCGAGACATAAAACCCGACAACGTACTCCTTTCTTTACGCAACACAACTACTACGCCTGATATGGGTAGCAGTCCGAGTAACCCCCAGATTGCGGGGTTGGACTACAACTACCCCTCACCTACGAGTAACACTTCTTGGACCTCCGCCGCGCCTTTATTTCACGGTTTCCGCGCCACGACTGCGTTTCCGTCACCGTCGCCGAGCCGCCGGCGCTACGACGTGAAGCTAGCGGATTTCGGCCTGTCGGTGATTCTAATGGGGGGCGGGCGCGTGCGCGGGTACGCGGGGAGTTTCCCGTACGAAGCGCCAGAGGTGGTTGGGTTGAGAGAGTACAGTTTCGCAGCGGATATCTGGAGCATGGGCGTGCTTTTGTACGCGTTATTGTCTGCGAACTGGCCCGAGTTCAAGAACAGGCAGGCGCTTAACGAGGAGACGGACTGGACTGGCGCGTCGTGGGATCAAGTGTCGGAGGACGCAAAGGATCTTATCCGTCGATTGCTGACGGTGGATCAAGATCGACGGCCCACGATCGATGAGGTGCTGAGGCACCCGTGGCTGGCGCAGGCGACCCGCGTTGATCGTACCGAAAGCGTTGACTCCGCTGACTGCGTTGACCGTGAGAAGGGGACAAAATTGAAACAAAATCCGTCGCTTCTGCCGCCGCTCCTCATCCCCTCGCAATCGCTCGATTCTCGCGAGTCTACCTCCCTCGAGTCGGCTTCGTCCATTCCGTCGGAAGCTTCCTTCCTCTCCGCGCTTGCCGCCACGCCTGCTTCTCTCCCCACGCCAACAGCTACTTTTACTGCCACCAGCACGACGTATCATGCGGCGAGTGAAAGGAGCAACGCGATCGGCGCGGTATCGGGGGGGATCCGCAGTAACTGCGCCAGCCGCGGAAGCAGCGCTTCGGAGACCCTCCCCGTCAGTGACAATAGCGGGGTGTGGGATGGGCCTGAGGCGCCGTGTGACTCTATGGAAGGGTGCGGACTGAAAGGGCGTAACCCTAAATGTCACCCTAAAAGGCCGCATCAAAGGCTGAGAAAAGGAGGATCTGCGGAAAATTCAGTCGACGGCGGCATGACGCGTGGACCAATCGCAACCGAGGAAGAACGGAGGTGCATGTCGGAGCCAAGCGGCGGGAGTCACGGAGGACAAGAGGAGAAGGACGGTACTAGCAGCGGAAGCGCCAGGAGGGGAAGCGCAACCGGCGCAAGCGCAAGTGAACCCCGTAACAAGGATAACTATGCAAGAGCAGGTTCCCCGTTAGCGCGACGCGGGTCCATCAAAGAGTACGCGGCGCAGGTGGTGTCTAGCCTAAGATGGCAGCCTGGCTGCTTCTATTCGACCGCTGAAGCCGTGGCTCCCGAGGCGGCCTGCGACGACACCGACGCTTCTTCCGCCGCAACTACCGCCGCAACTTCCGTCACTTCTGCCGTCGTGCCTCCTGCTACCGACATCGGAGCCTCTAAAAGTGGAACCGCGGAAACCCAAAGCCAATCTCCGAAGGGTAAAGAGTCGGCGGATATGGATATTCTACGAGCAATGGAGGTCCATCTATCCGCGTTCTTTATGACGAAGCAGTTTAGTAAAAAGTGTGCTTGAAATGATGTAAATACGAGCTCTACAATTTTGTTGTTTAGTTCAAAATGTTAAACTGCTGCAAGGTCCAGTTTGAGCTCTAATTGTTCAACAGATATGCTCTAGAAAACTATCACGGTTTTTTTCATCAAGTTGAACCGTGTTACGAGTGCAATTGAGTGAACGAACGAGAATTGCACTATCGAAGCAAGAATACAAATGAGCGAAGGCATGAGCGAACATTATATAGCGAAACTATAGTGGTAACGGTAATGGTCGCGCGACGAGCCTGGGACTGAGGTTGGGAAAGTGTCGAAGCGTAGGCCCGGAGCGCGGGTTACCAGCCGAGCCGTGAGGTCGGGATGCGATGTGCGAAAAGGGCGGGATGATGAATGATGCGATGGTCGCGAGTGGTAACGGTGCTGTCAAATGTTGTAGCCTGTAGTGAGGTTTGTCTTAGGGGGTACAGAAGTTAGGGTTTGTTATATGTACCCCAACCAACATCAATGGCATCATCATTCCTCATTTTGACATGGTATCAGCTAGGTTAGGATCCTGTGGGATCCCGTTCCTCCGTTCTCCGTTTGTCCCTCCCGAGCCTGATCCTACCTCTCGTTCGTACCGGTTCCGTTGTTACCGCGCCTAGTACCGAGCCTAGCGTCCTCTCCCCCGTCGCTTAGCGCCCTTTCTCCCCGTCGCCTAGCGCCCTTTCCCCCCCCCCCCCCCCCGTCGCGTCGCGCCCTTTCCCCCCGTCGCCTAGCGCTCTTTCCCCCCGTCGCGTCGCGCCCGTTCCCCCCGTCACGTCGTGCCCGCCCTTTCCCCCCCGTCCCGTCGCCCTGTCCCGTCGCGTCGCCCTGCCCCGTCCCGTCGCCCTGCCCCGTCGCGTCGCCCTGCCCCGTCCCGTCACCCTGCCCCGTCGCGTCGCCCTGCCCCGTCGCGTCGCCCTGCCCCGTCCCGTCACCCTGCCCCATCGCGCCGCCCTGCCCCGTCGCGTCGCCCTGTCCCGTCCCTACGCCCTGGCCCGTCGCCCTACCCTACGCCCTGGCCCGTCGCACTACCCTACGCCCTGGCCCGTCGCCCTACCCTACGCCCTGGCCCGTCGCCCTACCCTACGCCCTGGCCCGTCGCCCTACCCTACGCCCTGGCCCGTCGCCCTACCCTACGCCCTGGCCCGTCGCCCTACCCTACGCCCTAGCCCGTCGCCCTACTGTACGCCCTGGCCCGTCGCCCTAGCCCGCTCTTCCGCTGCGACTGAGTCCCCTTCCCACCTGAACCCTAATTTGCCTCTTCTCCCCGGTTGTTACTCGCCTGTTCGTTCGCGTTAGTTCTCACTATGGCGACTCCGCGAGTTCTTCGTTTCGACGCTGACGGTAGACCACTTGACTTTTCCGTATGGCTTCCTCGCGCTTGCCGTCTGTTAGAGAGTCAGGTCCAGGGGGGCGAGACCCTCTGGTCGCACGCTACTGGTGACCTCCCCGAGCCCCCCGAGCCTACAGCTTTAGGCTCTGCCCCTGACGACGCTGCTACGGCTCGCTTTGCCCGTCAGCGCGCTGACCGGACGGCTTGGACGTCGCGTGACGCTGCGGCCTGCATCGCACTCAGCAGCCTCCTCCCTGAGTCAGAGGAGGTCCACTTTACTCAGGTTCGCACCGCTGCTGCGTACCTCACTGCGATTAAGGCCCGCTACTCTACTCCCGCTACTGTCTCTCTTGGCCGTCTTTTCCTCCCGTTCCTGTTTCCTGATCTCGCCTCGTTTGAGCGCTCTGCTGACTTGATCGCTCACCTCCGCTCGCTCGACGCTAGTTACCGCGCTGCTTGCATTGAGGCACAGCTTGCACTGCTTCCTCCCCCCATGGCGATTACTGTCTATTTCATCGCCACTAGCCTCCCTGACCGCCTAGCCTCCGTTCGTGACGCGCTTCTGCTGAAGCACCCTAGTGAGCTGACTATCGAGGTCCTTGAGTCTGCACTCAAGGACGTCGAGAGCAACCTTCGCTCGGTAGCTGCCGCCTCTGGTACTGTGTCCCCCCCACTCTTCCACGGGTGCACAGTCCCGCAGTTAGCCACCTTCACTGCCTCTCTCGCCACTCCCGCTACTGACGCGACTGCGGCTGCTGTTACGACTGCGTCGCGGTCCCGCGGCAAGGGGGGCAAGAAAGGTAGTTCTGGTGGAGGTGGAGGTGGAGGTAGCGGAGGTAGTGGGGGTGCTGCTCCTCCTCCAGCCGCTGTAACTCCCTCTCCTCTCTCCCCCCGTCGCGTCGCCCTGCCCCAGGTGTCTGTGTCGTGTCAGGTTCCTACGTCTGCTCCAGTCGCTGCGTCGTGCTCCTGCCGGTCGCTTGCCCACCCCACCGTTCTGTGGCACCACCGGATGGGGCACCCGTCCCTTCCTCGTCTGCGCGCTATGTCTAGTCAGCGTCTTGTCCTAGGCCTCCCACGTGTCTTGCCGTCGCTGCCGCCTTCGCTTGCGCCGCCGTGTGGTCCCTGCGTCGAGGGTCGGCCGCGCGCCGCCCCTCACTCCTCCTCCCTTCGTCCGGCCACCGAGCCTTTTGAGACGCTTCACTTGGACGTCTGGGGCCCCGCCCCTCGTCTAGGCCCTGAGCGTGAGCGCTACTTTCTGGTGGTCGTTGACGACTTCTCCCGCTACTCCACAGTGTTCCCTCTGGCGAAGAAGTCTGAGGTGACTTCTACGCTGATCAGGTGGTTGCTCACCACCGAGGACACTTGTGGTCGTCGTGTCAGCTGCCTCCACTCCGACCGTGGGGGTGAGTTTCGCTCCGGCATTCTCGCTGGATTCTGTCGCGAGCAGGGCATTCGTCAGTCCTGGACGCTTCCAGAGTCCCCACAGCAGAATGGGGTTGCTGAGCGCCGCATAGGCCTGGTCATGGAGATCGCCCGCACCTCCCTGACTCACGCCTGTGCCCCCCATTTTCTGTGGCCCTACGCGGTCAGGTACGCCGCGCACCAGCTGAACCTCTGGCCACGTGTCTCTTGACCAGAGGTTTCACCGACCAGTCTTTGGACAGGGTCCCCTGGTGTTGCGTTGCGGTTTCGTGTCTGGGGATGCTTGGCTCTTGTCCGCGACACCTCCGCGGACAAGCTCTCGCCTCGCGCCGTCCCCTGTGTCTTCCTTGGTTTCCCTGAGGACTCCTCTGACTTCACCTTTTACCACCCTCCCTCTCACCGGTTCTTTGACTCCCGTGACGTCCGTTTCGAGGAGTCCACTCCGTACTACGTCAGGTACCCCAGTCGAGGTCTCCAGGTTCCTCCTCCCCCCCTCTTCCTGACTGCCGCTCCCCCTCCTGTTCCCCCGGCACAGCCTCCCCCCCCTGGTCCAGCCCCGTCGGGTGTGTCCCAGGCTACCCCTCCTCCTTCGGTAGCCTCTCCGGTACAGCCTCCCTCCCCACAGTCCTCCTCGCAGCGTGCCGCAGGTGCTAGCTCTCGAGAGGTTGGTGCTGCGCCTGTTCCTGTACCGGTTTCTGGTTCTGGGGGTGGTGGAGTTGGAGCTGGAGTTGGAGCTGGAGTTGGAGCTGGAGTTGGCACTGGAGTTTCTGGTTCTGGGGGTGCTGGGGTTGGAGCTGGAGTTGGAGCTGGAGTTTCTGGTTCTGGAGTTGGAGCTGACCCGGTGGGTGCAGAGGACTCTTGTCGTCCGGGAGCTGGTGCTGGTCGCGCGGACACTGGGGGTGAGAGTGCGCCTCCTTCAGGTTCTTGTGAGCCTGGGTCTGGAGCTGGTGTTAGTGCTGCCTCTGGGGGTGGTGCGCCTGGTTCTTTGGGGGTGGACTCTGGAGCTACCGCTGCTTCGGACACTACTCCGCCCCCCCACCCCTACCCGACTAGGCACCAGGCTCGTGTTCGCCGTGCCCGTGACGAGCAGCTGGCGTTGGAGAGAGAGGAGAGGGAGTTGCAGCGGCTGGAGGAGCAGCAGCAGCAGCTGGAGCCGCAGGAGCAGCAGCAGCAGCAGCAGCAGCTGGACCCGCAGGAGCAGCAGTCCCAGCAGCAGCCGCTTCTGCAGCAGCAGCAGTCGCAGCAGCAGCAGCAGCAGCCACTTCCTCCTCCTGTCTCGGGTCTTCGGACCCTTGGTCTCCCCTCCCCTTCTCCTCCCTCCTCCGCCTCTCCTCCTGTCTACGGTCCCACGTTTCCTCCTCCTGACTCCTCCCCCGCTGTTTTCCCCAGTTCTCCGCCTTTGTCCTCTCCTCCTCCGTCTCGTTCTTGGGCTACTCGTCGCTCCCCTCGTGCTCGTCCCTCGTCTCCTGTTCCCTTCACTGACCTTCGTACTGCCTTCCTTCTTTCTAGTCCACCTCGTCCGTCTCAGTCTGTGCTTCCGTCTCCTCCTGAGTCGGCCCTCACTGTGTCGCTCCCTACTCCTGTCACTGACTACTACCGCACGTACCGTCCTGTTCTCTCTCGTGTTCTCGCCTCTCTTGTTACTCACCCTCGTGCCTCTGTGTCCTCTATGTCCGCTCTTACTGCCGCAGTTACTGACTTTGCCTCTACCCGCCGCCTTGACTACGCCACCACGCTTGTGGCTGCTCCTCCTACCAGTCCTCTGGCCGTCGGGGGTGTGTCTGCCCTTGGCTGTGACGCCCTAGAGGACAGGCAGTTTGAGCTAGAGTTCCTGGCGGCCGCTTCCCCTCATCTCTGTGCCATGCTCCTCGCCCCTGAGGGTGACCCCGACGCCCCTGAGGATGACCCGAGCTGGCGCCAAGTGCGCAGTTTCTGACGCGCCGAAATCGAGGCCGCGATCGGCTCAAAGCGCGCCCGAAGCCCTGCGCACCACGCATCCCACGTGCTGTATTGGGCGGTTTCGCAGAACGAACTCCAGGTAACAGCTGGACCCGAGGGCCCTTCCTCGTGCGACGGTGGCTCATAGGCGCGCGGCGACGTCACAATGACTCGCCACCAGTCCATGGCGGGGCCCCTGAGTAGTGAAACCGCATACCGGATCTTGGCGGCGTCCGACTCGACGTAGTTGGCGTCGAAAAACACATTCATCGTGAAGACCCACGATTGAACTGTCGGGCCGCCGCGTTGGCTTGGGTCGAAGCAGGGCGGGCGTTGCGGCTTGAGTGGCATTGGGGCCATCATGGCGTTCTCGCCACTTGTCGCCGCAAACTCCACGTGCCGACGGGCTTCTCGGGGCTCCCGTGGGCTTAATGCGCTCCTGTTCCCTCTCATGCCGGGCATCGGTTGGGCTGCGCCGTCACTGGCTGCGCCTGAGCGCTGTCCCGTGCTGTTGTGTTGCGTTGGTGTGCCAGATGAGATGACGATGGGCTCCTCCGAATGTGCAGATGCATTGGTTGGTGCGTGTGATGTCGTCGGTACGTTCACCGTTGACTGTTGACGGGCGGAGTCACGTTCCGCCGTGAGAGTCGCGATTTCGAGCGCCGAATCCTCCAATTGACGCACGAGACGATCGAGTTGCTCCTGCGTCAACGTGGCGAGATTGAAATCGGCCATGGCGGGGGTGTCGGGCAAGCTCAGCGAGAGCCTCGGTCGTGGCCGTGCGTGCTTTCGAGAGAGCACTACGAGCGGCGGTGCTGTGTCGCTGAGAGACGTCTACCCCCCCCAAAAATTGAGATAGTGAGAAGCGAAGGTGTGGATGCGGTCCGAGATGAGATCGTAGGCTCTGATACCAAGTGTTACGAGTGCAATTGAGTGAACGAACGAGAATAGCACTATCGAAGCAAGAATACAAATGAGCGAAGGCATGAGCGAACATTATATAGCGAAACTATAGTGGTAACGGTAATGGTCGCGCGACGAGCCTGGGACTGAGGTTGGGAAAGTGTCGAAGCGTAGGCCCGGAGCGCGGGTTACCAGCCGAGCCGTGAGGTCGGGATGCGATGTGCGAAAAGGGCGGGATGATGAATGATGCGATGGTCGCGAGTGGTAACGGTGCTGACTGAGGTGCTACAGTGATGTACGCGTTGAGCAGGGACGCGAAGTAAGGAAAAGGGAATTTCCTTACAAACCGTCAGTAATAACAATGGCAAGCTTTTCCAAGTTTGTGCAAGTTCATTTATCCCCTCAACCCTCCCTACACCTTCTCTACTACCTATGCTACTTCACATTCTAAACATCCAGCAGTCCTCCCCTCCCCTCATCACACGGAGCCTTGCAAAGCAACGTGCCGCACCAACACAATGCCAATGCCCATCAAATTATTGTATGTTTTTCCTCACGTTCCGTAGCTATATGGCATTAGTAAAGCAAACAGTGATCGCTGAACATTAGCATAGTAAACACACTTAGATAACAATTTCGACCATCGCTCATTGTCCTTTGACGGCCCTCACTCCTTGGTATGTCTATCTAACTACCGACTACTACTATCTGCCATTCACAAATCACCCATGCACTGTTCTCCGGCTCCATCAATGCTAGGGACCAAAGTTTGGGAAAATTTTTGTTTTTAAGCAACCCTTATCATCAGTCCTGCACCTTTGAAAAACCCTGATTATCAGTGTGACCTATTGGGAAAATTCTTTTCCATCAGGGTTTTCCATAGTTTAAAATTTTTACCCTTATGCCACAGTGTAACAATTTTCGATACCCTGATGAAGTGTTTCTACTGGAGTTCTGAATGAAAACGCGGGCTACAAGATTCGATCCCGAGTCCCCATCCTTCCGAAGACCAAACCACAGCATTGACAACAATGGGCGACAAAAGCACATTCCCTCCCCCTCCCCACCCTCCCCGCCCTATCCATAAGCAATCCAGCCCACCGCACAGCCAGAGTCAAAAGGTGGGTGTCTCACAAAGTCATCTTCCATTCACAGATCATCCGATGCAGCCGTTCTCTTCCTCAACCAATCAGGTTATCATCCTTCAATCAACAGCAAAAGCACTTCCATGCAAAATCTTTCCCTCTTTGCTACACACCTTTTGATGCGCCTCAGAAGACCTGTGCCATTCACAGACCATCAGTACTCCCCCGTACCCCACACGTCTTAGTAGCACCAGCTTGTGCCTTTCACAGGTCATCCGATGCAGCCGTTCTCTTCCTCAGCCGGTCAAACCTCGCTGCCAGGTCATCAATGCCAGGTAGAGACATCACATCTCCCGACAATCCAGTTGTCCCCGAACCACTCTGCATCCCCGAACCTGGCCCCGAGGCTACCCCTCCACCTCCTCCACCGTAACCCGAACCAGCGCCGGAGCCATACCCGCCAGAGCCTGGCACCGAGGGGAACTCTGAGCCTGAGTGGGAGGAATGGGTGGCGCCCGAACCAGGGACAGACGGGGCATTGAAATCACCACTGCCGTTGCTATTGTTGCCCCCCCTGGGAGATCGAGCAACATAGTCATCGAAAGCATGTGCTGGGGTGCCATGGCTTGCCGGTGCTGCTCCTGACTCTCCTCCATACCCAGTAGTACCCATGCCTCCTGTTCCCCCTGCTCCTCCCACCCCACCTGCTCCTCCTCCTCCTCCTCCTCCTCCTCCTGCCCCAAATCCGCCACTACCAGTTTCACCTGCTCGAGGTGACTTAGCCACAAAATCGTCAAACGCACTCGCCCCCACAAACCCACCTCCTCCCCCTCCCCCTGCTCCTCCCCCTCCGCCTCCCCCTCCCCCTCCGCCTCCCCTTCCCCCCACGATGCCTCTAGGGGGAGCTGGCAAATCCAAACTGTCCTCCCCATCTTGCACCCCGCCCCCTCCACCTGAACCACCTGAGGAAACACCTGGCGCAACAGAACCACCTGGGGATCCACCTGGCATGCCACCGTAAGCACTAGGCCCGTAACGAGCGTTAACTGCCATTCCTCCCTGTCCGCCCATCATCCCCCCTCCCCCTCCTCCTGCCCCCGAACCATACCCAGCACCAATCCCCCCTCCCCCCATTCCACCGCCCCCAACGGCCATGCGGGCGGCATCTGCCGCCCGCTGCGCCGCCAGCCTGGCGCGCTCCGACGACTCACGGATCGCTGCCATCTGGCGCTCTCTCTCCTCAGCCACACGATCAAACTCCCTAGCCACCTCGTTTTCCGCCTGCCGAATCTCCTCTGTGGAAAACGCACCACTGGGATTGTTACCCTGATTCTGGTAGTTACTAGCTATACCTCCTCCCCCTCCTCCTCCCGCTCCTCCTCCCCCTCCCCCTCCTCCACCGTAGCTACTAGGAGCATAATCCATAGCATCTTTCTTGAAAGCCTTCCCCTCTCCATACTTGGGTACAGATGATGCTGGATAGTCCAGGGGGTTACCACCCACGCCAGTGTAACCAGCTGACCCACCACCAGAACCATAACCACCACCACCACTGCCACCACCACCAGCACCACCACCACCACCAGCGGCAGCAGCAGCAGAAGCGGGGTGGGCAGGGTTATTTGCCTGCCCCTGCCCGCCTGCCCCTCCCACCCAACGCTTCTCATAATCATCTGCTGTAATCAGCGATTCTGTGCGAGGAGGGGCAGACGGAGGGCCGGTTTCGTACGGCTGGCTGCCTGCCGGAACATTTGCGGGCTGCCCGGGATTGTAGGGCTGCCCGGGGCCAAACATGTTGGGCAAGGAGTCGTGAGGAGGGGGGGTTCTGGGAGCGTCTGGAAAGGTGGATGTGTAGACTGGCTGGTTGGAGCGAGGGTCCTGAGAGGGGGAGAGCAATGGGAAGAGGGAATGGAGGCGTGGGTTAGCGTGCGTGTGTGTATGAAGAGGGAGAAAGGGAAGGCTGGGAAGGTTGGGCGTGGAGTCGTGAGGAGGGGGGGTTCTGGGAGCGTCTGGAAAGGTGGATGTGTAGACTGGCTGGTTGGAGCGAGGGTCCTGAGAGGGGGAGAGCAATGGGAAGAGGGAATGGAGGCGTGGGTTAGCGTGCGTGTGTGTATGAAGAGGGAGAAAGGGAAGGCTGGGAAGGTTGGGCGTGGAGTCGTGAGGAGGGGGGGTCCTGGGAGCGTCTGGATGGGTGGATGTGTAGACTGGCTGGTTGGAGCGAGGGTCCTGCAGGGAAGGGTGGGAGGGAAGGGGGTGCGGCAAAGACAGAAAGATGAGTGATTGCAAGAGCATCTGGATGTGAAGAGGTGTGGACTGGCTGAATGGAACGAGTGTCCTGAGGGGGGGAAACAAAGGGGGGGATGAGAGAAAGTTCTTTTGAGATGTCTCGAAAGTACTATTTTTACACGAGGCTGTATGGAACGAGGGTACTGCAGGAGGAAACAAAGTGGGGGATGAGAGAAAGGCAGAAAGAATGAGCATCCGGAAGGGTAGATGTGTGGACTAGCTCAACACATCGCAGTGCACTCCTGTGCACTCCGGTGCACTCCTGTGCATCCCTGTAAAGCCCGTTGACTAAGCACCGCACCCCACTCACCATCATGTCTTGGTATTTCGCCAGTAGATCCTTCTGCATGCTCGCCAGGTCCCACTCCATTCACGCCATTCTCTGTGTCCCAAAGAGATGCGTTACTGAGCGTCCCCCCTTCCCCAACATCACTCTCACCATCATATCTTCATATTTCGCCAACAGATCTTTCTGCATGCTCGCCGGGTCCCACTCCACGCCGTTCTCCTCCGCCAGCTTCTGCAGCGCCTCTAGCTTGGATTCCGGGGAGGGAGCTCTCACTGACAGCTTGGCAACAATCTGTGGAAGTGGAAACAAGGGGAAGAGGGGAAAGGGGGGAGAAACTACTGAGTCGCCACCCTACTCCACTCCACGCCATTCTCCTCTGCCAGTTTCTGCAGCGCCTCCAATTTCGATTCAGGGGAGGGAGCTTGCACTGACAGCTTCGCCACGATCTGGAGGTGAAGGGCAGATACAAGGAGAGAGGCATGGCACGGGGAACAGGGGAACATGGACTGGCTTAGCAACTCCACTCCACTCCACTCCACTCCACTCCACTCCATTCTCCTCTGCCAGCTTTTGCAGCGCCTCTAGTTTGGATTCGAGCGGAGGGGTTCGAACGGACAGCTTAGCCACGATCTAGAAGGTGCCGCACAAAGAGTGCAAAGGACGAAGATGGGCTGGGAGCAGGTGAACATAGATCTGGTGACCTCTACCCCACTCAACTCCATTCCACCCCACACTACCACACTCCACCCCAATCCACCTTACTCCACCCCAATCCATCCCACTCCTCCCCAATCCTCCCCACTCCACCCCACCTCCACGCACTCCACCGCATCGAAACACTCACGATTCGGTTCACTCCACATTCTGTCCGCAACTCCTCTGCTGCCATCACGAATTCCCGCTCAAACTTCAGAGGCAAATCAAGCATCAGTACCGTCACTGCCCCACTCCACCCCATTCGACCGTACTCTACATCACTCCACCCCACCCCACCGCACTCCACACCAAAACACTCACGATTCGGTTCACTCCGCATTCAGGCCCCAGCTCCTCTGCTGCCATCCCGAACCCTCGCCCAAACTTGTGCTGGAGAAGTTTCTTTGCCTCGGCGAGCTCGCGCCCAAGCCTTCGAGACAAGTAATACACTACTTCCGTCACTGCCTCCCATCACTCAGAATTCCGTCCACTCCACGCCACCCCACCCCACCCGACTCCACCGAACTCCACCCCATCCCACCCCAATCCATCCCACCGCACTGCACTCCACACCAAAACTCGGAACACTCACGAGTCGGTTCACTCCGCATTCAGGCCGGAGCTCCTCTGCTGCCATTCTCGTGCACCCAAATCCACCGCACTCCATCCCTTTCGAGTCCACTCAGTGCCACTCCACCCACCCCACCACACTCCACCACATTAGAACACATATTATTACTCACGATTCGGTTCACTCCGCAATCAGGACGCAGCTCCTCTGCTGCCATCACAAACTCCCCAATCCACCCCACCCCACTGCACCCGACCACACTCCACATCAAAACACTCACGATTCGGTTCACTCCGCATTCAGGCCGCAGCTCCTCTGCTGCCATCACAAACTCCCGCCCGAACTTCTGCTGGAAGAGCTTCTTCGCCTCAGCAAGCTCGGGCAGGTCGGAGCAGCGCGGGGCAGCAAAAATAATGCTCGATACCGCCTCCCGCAAGTCCACCGGGCAGGTCCTGAAGCAAACAAGTCACAAGAAGTAAACAAACACGGCAACACGATTACCAACGTTTAGAGACGCCTTAGAACTCGTAACAAGACATCACGCGATCCCCACGACCATCATGTTATGGGAAGCCATAAAAGGGGTGTATAAACGTAAACCCTATAGCACTCACTTCTGTGACTCTATAATGAGGATGCGAGCGACCAGTAGCTCGCAGAAGAGCTCCAGCACATCATAGGCCGCTATAGTGTTCTCCTCCCTTATAAGCTCCTCCACCTTAAAAACAGGGAACATTCAGCCGGATGAAGGGAGGATAAGACACACACACACACACACCAGAAGGAGGTGTAGAGAAGAAATATCTTAGCCAATCAGCTCTCAACACGATGCGGAACCGCTTGTCCCTCTTGTTGCTGTCACAATGGGCAATGCAGGAATTTCAGCTCATTGCTGATTCAGGATTATGCCTCCTGTTCGCCTTTGGAGCATCATAGCCATCGCCCAATGTTTGCATTTTCAGCGCCATCGTAATGCATGGATTAATGGAAAAAAATCTAAACCAATTTTCAAGATTTCTTGTCAGGATTTTTTGTTTTGAATTTCATACCCTAATCCGAGCTCGTTCTGCTGTTTTTTGCGTATCAGGGTGTAATAGATATACATACGCATGCAAGCATGGTTTATGTATAACGTAGTAACGCGTAACACGTACCCTAATACGAGCTCGAGCATCCTGGCCGCCTTTGAGCATCATCGCCACCTCGCGCCGTTTGTACTTGAGCTCGTTCTGCCGCTTGTTGCGCATCACCGTGATTCGCGACGCCGACAGCTGAAGCTGAGTCTTCCTGTAACGAGGACAGAGTGTATCATAGAAACTCAACAACATTTACCGTTGAGAAGGATATCAATGCCTTGACGCGGAACAGGAGAGGAGACGAGGAGAGCAGAGGTTTGGACAAAGACAAGGACATCGGGAGGTGACTTCTAAAATAAAAAATGTGCGAGCCTCATCACTCACAGCTTCGAGCCCTTGAATCCTCCTCCAAACATCGTGACCGCTCTGCAACTAACACAACCGTATTCAAGGCGAAAGAAATCAACCGCGGGATCAAACGTCGATAAATTCCTTCGCAAAAATGTTCGTCGACGCAGATTGGCAGGAAAGGCGCAAAGAGACCTCACGCGGAATCTAATCGCGCAGACTCGTCCCTTTGAGAAACTTGAAAACCCGAAGGACGCTTAGAATACGAACAGCTTAATCAGCCAAGCGCCGATCACGGGAAGCCAGAGCACCGGCCTGCATTCAGCTGGAGAAAACTGAGCTATGGCGCAAAATGCCTGCTGCTGGTGCTGCAGGTGCTGCTGAGCGTTTTGGGGCTAGCTGCTGCTATCAAGTCCCACCCACATCGGCTCGTTGAGGCGTGTTCCAAGAGCGAGTCACTGGTCGCAGTTAGAGAGGGTTACTAACTAGTAAAAGAACGTTTCATCTCCTTTGTTTCATTTTGCCTGCTCTAAACTTGCAACAATCAGCCAAATCGCTTGAGCAGTGTGTTTTCTGTGTATCTTATGTCTTCAGAGAGACGGGGGAGCACCGGAAAGAAATGCATCCTACGATTTTCTGAAGTGAGGTGTTGCATGATTTCGTGAGGGAGTGCTGTCGTTACCATCTTGACACATCATTTCGCAATGCACCTCGCACAACGTTTGTCGCACGCAGCACTGATTGTAAGGATTTACAAATCCTTACTTAGGCACTCGTTAGCGAGGACATCCCGAGGGTCACGCGACGAACCTGTTGTGCCTATTTCGTCGCACCGAACCACCCCCGAATCGGCCTTCGCCCCAACCTCAACCATCACCGAGCCATCCCTTTCCGAACCCCCCGCCTAGCTAGGACTTCCCCTATTTAGGTCTTGTCATTTCCATTGTATGGTCATTCAGTACTCAATCATTCTCGTTATTCGTTTTACTGCGCACTCTGCAAGTTCGTTCATAACATCTTTACTGTTTGCTGAATCATAATATACTCAGTATTATTACGAGTGCAATTGAGTGAACGAACGAGAATTGCACTATCGAAGCAAGAGTACAATGAGCGAAGGCATGAGCGAAGAATATATAGCGAAACTACAGTGGTAACGGTAATGGACTGTGGTTGTCGCGCGACGGGCCTGAGACTGAGGTTGGGAAAAAATGTCGAAGCGGAGGCCCGGAGCGCGGGTTACCCGCCGAGCCGTGAGGTCGGGGTGCGATGTGCGAAAGGTGGCGGGAGGATTGTCGATGCGAGGGTTGCGACTGGTAACGGTGCTGAGTGTGGTGCTACAGTGATGTACGCGTTGAGCAGGGATGCGAAGTAAGGAAAATGAATTTTCCTTAGAAGTATCCAGGCTCCACTCATATGTTCGTCAGCAGACTTGGCCACAAAGATGCCATCGAGAAGGCGGAATGGGCAGCAACAACACTGCACCACACACGCACCTCCTCGTTTCCGCGGGCTGTATTTCCGCCAGACCTGCGGCTGCGAGCCGATCATCCGCCGTGTCCTTCCGCGTTCGGTAATCGCAAGGGCAACGTTCCAGCCAATCACCAGCATGTTGCCTGCAGTTTTTCCCCGTCCCCCTTTCACCGCCCCCCATACCTGTTTTCATAGGGCGCGCGGGAGGCTGGTTGGGGGAGATGAACGGAAACTCTGTGTGCGATGCAGTGTGATTTCAGCATCATCTAATGCGGTAATTATTTAAAACCCCCAGTTGAAGGCCACCAATGGAACACTCCCCCCGTACGAAAGCCAAAAGGCAGTGCGGGTGCGCGGAATTCTGTACTGGACAGAAACGTGGTGTACTGTACGGAAAACCGCATTGCGCCGTGTTGACTAGAGGTTGTTCTCAAACATGACCCCCTTTCCAAATTCGAGTCCGTCCAGTCCTTCGGCGTCACTGGCTGTAAATAGACCGTGTTGAACCGTAGCAGACCATGCGATATCGTATTGATGCTGGTCAGGCTTCTCGTCGAACACGCCCGACAGAGCTAGTTTCTTCGAGGTTTTCCTGTGACCCCGTCCCTCCGAACTCGACTTCCTTCTGACCAGAGCAGCAGGAATGAGGCAGTTTGATTGGCTCTTCTTTTCTAAGATTTTGTCCCGACTCACCCGAAGCCTTTCGCAGTTACATATAATTCGTTGCGACTGCAGATTACAATGGCGGCGACGGCTAGGGAAGGATGCGATGCGAGTTAATTAGGATACGAGGTAGCAAGGACATTGACGACGCACTCGGTCAGTCTCTCCGAATCACACGTGGTGTTCTATCCGTCCTCCTGACCGCCATAGTTCCATCACGTTGATTCGCCGCTTCTCGACGTCGAAAAGAGAAAGCCAACCAGCATTCCTCAGGAAGACTTGTGGAGCTCCGTGTTGAAGCAACGATGTACTTATAAAGCCATTTGCGAGTCAGACCGATACTTGTCTATTTCGGGACAAATAGAGCGACGCGCGCTCGCACAGACCTGCGGTAGAACGCCGAACCTCAACGTCGAGCGCACGACGCACGACGCACGACGAACGACGCACGTCGCACCACGCACGACGAACTACGAGCGACGCACGACGCATGACGCACGACGGACGACGAACGACGGACGACGAACCACGAACGACGACACATCTCGATGCTACTAGGAAATCCCCCGCCGACCGCAGCAATGCTAGCGAAGCTCCGACAAGGCCCGCATTCGCATGCGACTGTTTGTATCGGAATGCCGAATCAGTCTATAATGGAGCGGATTTGTATTAGAGTGCGTGCAGTAGCGGTCCGAAGGCCGTGACTCGATTCGAAACTACGTTTGAATGACGGGGACAGCTGCGAATGGCGGCGAGAGTTTCGATTCGACTCAGAAGTCCGTCATCGGATTCAAATAGTGGTAATACGTGAAGGCCGTGACACGATTTGAGACGATTCGAAACGATTCGGGAGGACTCGAGACGACGTTTGAATGACACGTCTCCGATGACGACGAAAGAGCAGCCGCTAGTATCACGCATCGGAGCGATTCGCCGCTACAGGTGACCGTTGAGTCCAATACAATGACGCGCCTCGAGCCGCGGCGCCATCGCCGGCGTGATTACTGCATGTTGCGCTCCGCATCCCCGCGTTTGAGCGGGCCGCCGCCGCAGCTCACGGCGCGCGCGGCGGCGCACCGGCGGCTCGTCCTGGCGATCTGCCTCGTCGCTGCTTGTACACGTGGCGTCTTGGGAGAGGGTAGGTGTTGGGAGGGGGGGAAGGAGCGGGGAACGAGGAGGAGTTTGCAGGTATTGAGGGTGGGGGGTAAGGGCTAAGAGTGCGGGGAAAGGGGAGGAGAGGGTAGGCGTTGAGGGAAGGGGGGAGAAGGGGCTAAGAGAAGGTGGAAGGAGGAGTTTGTAGGTATTGAGGGTGGGGGTAAGGGCTAAGAGTGCAGGGAAAGGGGAGGAGAGGGTAGGTGTTGAGGGTGGGGGGGAAGGGCTAAGAGAACGGGGAAAGGGGAGGAGAAGCATGTTGCTCCCAATCGTTCCTCCCATTTTCCCTTCCCACTCCCCACTCAAACTTCCAGTGCCGCTTTTGAGAATTCTCAAAAACAGGTTGCTCCCAATTTTTCCTCCCATTTGCCCTTTCCACTCCCCCACTCAAACTTCCAAGTCATCCAGTGCCGGTGCTGCTGTGTCGTAACCAGTGCCTCTCCCCGGTGCCGCCCCATCATCCCTTGCTCTCCCTCCCCTCCTTATCTCCCCCATTTCCCCCCGCCTCTCCCCCTCCCCCTTCCCACCCAGACCTCCAGTGCCGGTGCTGCTGTGTCGTCACCAGCGCCTCTTCCCACTGTGCCTCCCATTTCCGCCTTCTCACCCCCCCATCCCCCCCCATCTCCCCTTCCTTCCCCCACCCACTCAGACCTCCAGTGCCGCTGCTGCTGTGCCATCACTAGCACCTCCCCGGTGCCACCCCATCATCCCCCGCTCTCCCTCCCCTCCTTATTTCCCCCCCTCCCCCCCGCTTCTCTCCCTCCCCCCCCCCCCCCCACCCACCCACTCAGACCTCCAGTGCCGGTGCTGCTGTGTCGTCACCAGCGCCTCTCCTGTGCCGCCCCAGCTGCTCATTCCCCTTCCCCACTCTTCCTCCCCTCCTTGTCTCCCCCATTTCCCCCTTCTCCCCCTCCCCCCACCCACTCAGACCTCCAGTGCCGGTGCTGCTGTGCCGTCAACAGCGCCTCTCCTGTGCCGACCCAGCTGCTCCCAATAGAGTGCGCCCACTCTCTCCTGCTGCACTCCTGCACCGCACTCGACCCATCCGATTTCAGCCGACAACCCACTGAACCACCCCAGCTGCTCCCAATAGAGTGCGCCCACTCTCTCCTGCTGCACTCCTGCACCGCACTCGACCCATCCGATTTCAGCCGACAACCCACTGAACCACCCCAGCTGCCCCCAACAGAGTGCGCCCACCCTCTCCTGCTGCATGCATGCAGTGCAGTTGACCCATCGAATCTCAGCCCACCACCCACACCCACTGATCCACCCCAGCTTCCCCCAACCCAACAGATCCTATCAAAGTGCCCACATTCGCTCCTGCTGCTCTCCTGCAGTGCACTCGGCTTATCCGATCTCAGCCCACGAACCACAGCCACCGACCGACCGCAACTGCACCCACCCCTGTACGCCCACTCTTTCTTGCTGCACTCCTGCCCTGCAGCTGACATACCGAATTTCACCCCACCATCCACTGACCCGCTCCAGCCACTCCTATCGCACTGCGCCCACTCTCTCCTGCTGCATTGCTGCCCTGCAGCTGACTTACGAAGTTCCAGCCCACGGGAGCAGGAGTGGGAGTGGAATGTAACCCAAGGGCTTTTGAGCCTTGCGTGTGGGGAATTCGCGAAGTCTGAAACGACCAGCAGAGATAAGGCGATTGAAGGGGAGACGGAAGAGCAAGCAGGAATTGGGAGCGAAGGGGCTGGTCTGATGAAGGAAGAGGGTGAGAGAGCAGGAGAGACACAGCAGCAGGAGGGACAAGGGCAGCAGCAGCAGCAGCAGCAGGGGCAGCAGGGGCAGCAGGGGCAGCAGAAACAGAAGCAGCGTAAATGGGAGACCGGGCAAAGTGAGGGGGCTGGACAAACGCTTTACTTGTGTCTCAGTAACAGCAAGGTGACTCTCGATTTGGCTCACAAATCGTTTGAGGGAGGGGAAGCAGCAGGCAGAGGAGTAGTGCTGCTACTGTGTGTCAGAAGCAGCAGGGAGAGAGAGGGGATGGGAAGTGGAGGAGGGGACAAGGAGGGAGAGGGTATGAGAAGTGGACGGGGAGTGGAGGGAAGAACGCTAGAACAAAGGGTTGGGAAGGCATTGGATAGGGAAAAGGGGAGAGGTGTGAGTAGGGGAGAAGAGCGGAAGGGGAGGGGGAGAGGAGACGGGTGGAATGGGGAGGGGATGGAGGGAGCTGGTGCTAGGGTTGTTGCAGGCTTTGAGTTGCGTGGAAAGGCGGAAGGAGATGGCGCAAGGGCGGTTGCGGCTTTTGAGGCGCGGAAAAGGGCACGAAAAGCTGTTGCAAGGGCGGTTGCGGCTCAGCCACTGTGGCTCATCAACCGGACCACCCTGGTATGAGTGTGTGTTGTCAAACCTTCATCATCTCTTGCGGGGTTTGAGGCGCATCTAAAGGCGGGAAAAGCTGTTGCAAGGGCAGTTGCGGCTTGGCCACTGTGGCTCATCAACCGAACCACTCTGGTATGCTTCTTGAGAAACCTGCTACCAATTTTCTTGCGCGAACTCTCAGCACACCTGGGTGTGGTGGGTGTGTGCATGTGTGCAAAAGGCGAGAGGAGCTGTTGCAAGGGCGGTTGCGGCTCAACCGTGGTCGGTTATCAACCGAACCTCGCTGGTATACGTCTTGAGAAATTTACAAATTTCTTGCGTGAGCTCTCTCACAGCACGCCTGGGTGTGGGTGTGCGTGCGTGTGCATGTCCGTCCTTCCACCCAGGCGTGCAAAAGGCAAGAGCTGCGTGTGCTTGAGAAACTTATGAGAATCCTCAAACGGTTGTTGAATATTCTGAAAATCACAACTGTTGTCGATTGGTCAAAACAGTTTGGCCACCGCACCGCACCACTCGTGTGTATGTGTCTTTTTTTGTTAATGATATTTCTTTGGGATCTCTCCATCTCGTCTCACGTCGATCCGATTTTGTCGTTTGGTCCTTCGATGCGCAAGTAAATGGCCAACTGTTGTTTCTCCGATCATGCAGAATTCTCAGAACAAGGAGTCGACACGTGTGTGATAGTCGATTTTAGAGTCGACTTAAAAAAACAAATTCTCAAAAAAAGGAGTCTCACAACCTGCAAGTACATGGTCAACAAGCTAAGGAGGCGGGTAGCTCTGCGCGTCAGGCGGTAATCTCGTATGATTCTACCCCTCTCTGCCCTCCGTCAAGGAGGCGGGTGGCTCTGCGCGTGAGGCTGAGTGGGCAAGCAAGCAAGCAGTGCAAGTGGACGGTCAACACGGTAATCTCGTATGATTCTATGATCTATCCACCCCTCTCTGCCCTCCATCAAGGAGGCGGGTGGCTCTGCGCATGAGGCTGAGCAAGCAAGCAAGCAAGCAATCACGCAGTGCAAGTAGACAGACAACAAGGTAATCTCGTATGATTCTACCCCTCTCTGCCCGCCTCCCCTCCCCCTCCTCATTGGCAAACATGGGGGAGAGATCAGTCAAGGAGGCGGGCGGCTCTGCTGCGTGTGAGGCCTCTGTTTTTGAGGTGCCTAAAAATTAGACTCTCTGCCCTTCTCCCCTCCTCCCCCTTCTCCTCATTGCCAGACATGGGGGATAGATCAGTCAAGGAGGCGGGCGGCTCTGCTGCGTGTGAGGCCTCTGTTTTTGAGGTGCCTAAAAAATAGACTCTCTGCCCTTCTCCCCTCCTCCTCCTTCTCCTCATTGCCAGACATGGGGGATAGATCAGTCAAGGAGGCGGGTGGCTCTGCGCGTGAGGCTGAGTGGGCAGGCACGCAGTGCCACGTCAGCAGTCGCGAAGTCAGCAGGCCAGGCACCAGCTCAAGCTCCTGCGGCCGAACCTCCTGCCGCACCTCCTCCCGAACCTCTTGCCGCACCTCCTCCCGAACCTCCTGCCGCACCTCCTCCCGAGCCTTCTGCCCCACCTCCTCCTGAACTTCCTGCCGCGCCTCCTCCCGAGCCTTCTGCCCCACCTCCTCCTGAACCTCCTGCCGCTGCTCCTCCTGCCGAACCTCCTGCAGCGGCCCCTCCACCATCCGAGCCTCCTGCTGCCGCCCCTCCACCATCCGAGCCTCCTGCCGCCGCCCCTTCACTTCCCCCCGTTGCCCCATCACCCGATGCCACTGCCATTCCCCCCACACTTCCTCCCATCCTTCCCCCTACACTTCCCCCAGCCTCTCCCCCTACACTCTCCCCCGCCTCTCCCCCTGCTCTCCCCCCAACATCTCCCCCTGTTCTCTCCCCAGCCTCCCCCCCTGATCCCCCTTTCGTCCCCCCTCCCTCTCCCCCTCCCCCAGACCTAGGCACCCTCACTCCTACTGCCGACTCCCCTCCCCCCTCCTCTCCCTCCTCCCCTCCCTCCTCTCGCTTCCCTCCTCCCCCATCCTCTCGTACCCCTCCCATCTCCCTCATTCCTGGTACCTCCACCTCTCATCCTCCCCCGCCTCCTCCTCAAACAATTTCCAACCCTTCCCTTCCCCCTGCTGCTGATCCCCCCTCACTTCTTTCCCCCTCCCCTGCTGCTTCCCCTGCCCTTGCCCCCGAGCTTTCCCCCTCTTTCCCCCCTATAGGTTCCCCTTCCCCCTATCCCCCTCTCGCCCCCGCCCCCGCCCCTTCCCCTGATTTCCCCACCGCCATCTCCCCTGCTCCTTCCCCTGCCCTTGCCCCAGCGCCATCCCCAGCCGCCCTTCCCCCTGTGCTTCCCCCTGAGCTTCCCCCTGAGCTTCCCCCTGAGCTTCCCCCAGCTGCTTCCCCCCTTCCCCCAGATCCCCCACAACCCCCCCCTCACCCTCACAGACCCCCTAAACGACACCCCCCACGCGCCCCCCAACCCCCTCCCCCTTCCGAGCCTCCTGCCGAGCCTCCTGCCGTCCTTCCTGCCGAACCTCCTGCCGAGCCTCCGAGCCTTTCCCCTGCTTCCAGCCCTTCCCCCTCCCCCTCTGCTGTCTTCCCCCTTTCCCCTTCTCCTCCCCCACCTCTCTCCCCCCACCCCCATCGTTTCCCCCCCACTGCCCCCACTCTCTCCTCCCCTTCCTCATCCCCTCCTCCTTCCCCACCTCCTTCCTCCTCTCACCCTCCATCCTCACTCTACCCCCCTCCACACACTCTCCCCCATCCCCCTCCTCCACTCCCCCCTCCCCCGCCCCATTCCCTTCCCCAACCCCTCCCCCCTCCCCCTCCCCCTCCCGTCCATCACCCTATAAAACACCACCCCCCTCTCTATGCCGGCACACCCCGCAGCTTCGCTCCTGTCACCCTCACACCTCCCCCTCCTCCTCCCTCGCCTCCTCGCCTCCAATCCACCCCTCCTCCTAGCTTATTCCCATCCTTCCCTCCTGGTGCTCTCACCCCTTCCCCGCCTCCTCCACTGCTTCCTCCTCCTCCTTCGCTGCTTTCTCCTCCGCCATTCACCGTCGGCCCATCAAGCCCGGCCGCTGTCCTGCCGTCACCGCCGCCACCGCCTCTCATCCTTCCGCCCCCGCCCCCCGACAGCCGAAGTAAGTTCTCCTTTCTTCCTCCCTCCTCCCTTCTCTGATTACTTCTCTCCCTCCTCTTTCTCCTTCTCCCCTGCTCTCTCCTCCTCTGCTTTGTCCTCCGCCATTCACCGTCGGTTCGTCAAGCCCGGCCACTGTCCTGCCGTCACCACCACCGCCACCGCCTCTCATCCTTCCGCCCCCTCCCCCCGACAGCCGAAGTAAGTTTGCCTTGTGTTTCCCCCTATTCTTTCTAAATGCTTCCCCCTTCCTGCCCGTGGTTCCCACCTCTCTAGCCTCCTCCTCCCCCTCCTGCATTCACCGTCGGCCCGTCAAGCCCGGCCGCTGTCCTGCCGTCAGCAGCACCACCACCACCGCCGCTCATCCTTCCACCTCCACCCCCCGACAGCAGAAGTAAGTTCTTTTTTATTCCTCCCTCCTCCCTTCTCTAGTAACTTCTCTCCCTCATCTTTCTCCTCTTCTGCTCTCTTCTCTTCCTCCATTCACAATCGGCCCATCAAGCACTGCCACTGTCCTGCCGTCACCACGTCCGCTACCACCGCTCATGGTGCCATTCACGTCGCTCATCCTTCCGCCCCCTCCCCCTGACGGCCGAAGTGAGTTCGTTCTCATTTTCCGCCCCTCACTTCTCTAGTTTTCCCCCTCTCCCCTCTCTTCCCTCTCCCACTCATCCTTCCACCCCCTCCTCCTGCCTGACAGCCGAAGTGAGTACTCTCCCTTTCAATCTCTCCCACTCGTTCCCCCCTCCCTTGTCTCATCACTTGCCCTCTCTGCACTTCATTCCCACCTCTCTTCACCTCTCTCCACCGCTCCCTCTCGTTCCCCTCTCTCTCCCTTGGCTGATTGCTTCACTCCCACCATTCTCCCGACACCCACCCACCCATCTCCTCTTTTCTCCCACCCCCTCCCTGTTACCCCCACCCTCCTCTTCCACTCCTTCCCTCCCCTGCCTCTGCGCCCTCCCAATGGTGCTCATAGCTCGCCGGCACTCCTCCTTCGACTCCTTCCTGACCAACTTCCCTGTGTTCGCACAACAGCTCGCCTTGGCCTTCCCTATCACGCTGATCAGAAAAATCCTCTGACAAACTACCTTGCCCCTCTTTCCCCCCACCCGTTCCCCCTTGTTTTCCTCCCAGACTGCCCCCCCTGCCCATCCCCCACCGTGCTCCTTCCCTCCACCTCCCCCTCCCTCCCCTGCGCCTGTGCCCTCCCAATGGTGCTCATAGCTCGCCTGCACTCCTCCTTCGACTCCTTCCTACACAACGTCCCCTCGTTCGCGCGAGAGCTCGCCTCGCCCCTCCTCTTACAGCCCCCTCAAGTGGAGGTCTGGGCTGTCACTTACGATCCTGATCCCACGGCGCTTGTGGTGACCACGTATTTTCTGCCAGTGGAAGGGGAAGGGACAGCAGCAGCAGCAGCAGCAGCAGCAGCAGCAGCAGCAGCAGCAGCAGCAGCAGCAGCAGCAGCAGCAGCAGTAGCGGCGGTGGAGGCAACAGCAGAAAACGCAGCAGGAGCAGCAGCCGCAGCAGCAGAGGCTGGACCTCTTGTGAGGCACCTCAAAAGCAATCCAGCGGGCCTCATTGGTACCAAGGTGACTTTTGAGTCGACTCAAAAGTCTCATCTCCTGCCAGAAGAAAGGAGAAGAGCAGAGGCAGAAGTACAGAGGCACTCACGCTTGCTGGCAGGAGCAGAGAATGGAAACTCTCAGGGGGAGCTGCCGGTGCAGCTGAATCGGTCCGAGGTGACCAGGATTCGGCAGGTGTTGCTGGGAGGAGGAGTGCAGCCTGACCCGAGTTTGTTTGGGGATTTTACCGTCCTTTTAATTCTAAACCCGGGTAAGTTGGGTTGGGATGGGTTGGGCTGCTCTCGTGTGTGGTTGGAGTGGGTGCCGTTCTGGTTGTACAGAGTTGGTTTTCTAGCGTTCCTAAATAGAAAAAAGAGGGGGTTATGCAGTTTAATGTCCAGGGTTAAGCGCTTGGGTTTTTTTAGGACTCGCAAAAACATGTGCGCGTGAAACCGAGGTAGCTGATCTCAAAATTCTTTTTGCCCGTTCTGTTCTCTGTTTTCCGTACCCTGTTTCCTGCTCTTTGTCAGGTTTACCGTTTTTGAGTCGACTCAAAAACACGCTCTGCTTTTGAGTCGACTGTTTTTGAGTCCACTCAAAAACACGTTCTGTTCTCTGTTTTCCGTACCTTGTTTCCTGCTCTCTGTCAGGTTTACCATTCCGCAGCCCTCCTACTCCTCCCTCCCCCGATCAGCCACTCTCACCCGTCATCACCTCTAATAGAACAAGCACATTACCTTCTCTCATCCCTCCTTTCGTTCCCCCCTCTGTTCTTTTTTCTGTTTTCTGCCCCCCTCTCAGATCAACCACTCCCCAGCCCTCCTCCTCCTCCTTCCCCCGATCAGCCTCTCTCACCCGCCTCTCTCACCCGCCTCTCTCACCCGCCTCTCTCACCCGCCTCTCTCACCCGCTATCACCGCTAATAATAGCAAGCCCCAACTCTTTTCTCATCTAGCATCACCATATCCTTTCATTCCCCCCTCTATTTTCTGTTTTCTGTTTTCTGCCCCCTTTCAGGTCAACCGTTTCCCAGCCCTCCCCCTCCTCCCTCCCCCGATCAGCCTCTCACTCCCACCATCACCGCTAACAGCACCAACGCCAGTGACACATCCTCCCCTTCCTCCTCCTCTTCCTCTCCTCCCTCCTCCTCCTCGCTCTCCTCTCTCCTCATCCTCCTGATCATTGGAATCCCGGTGGGGGTATTTGCGCTGGTTACCCTGGTTGCGATAGTGTGGAACCGGCTAGTCACCCGGAAGGCTCAGAGAAACGTGTTTAAGGGGGTGAGAACAGTCGGGCCGTTTTGGGGGGGAGGGAGTGAGGGAGACGAGGAGGGGGATGGCTCGTGGCTTGCTGAAGCAAGCTCGGCTGCTGCTGCTGAAGCAGCGGCAGCAGCAGCAGCAGCAGCTGGGGTGCACTCACCTGATAAACGAGCATGCTTTTACTCCCCTCCACATGATTATTCCTCTCCTCCCTCCTCCCCTCCACATAGACCTACCCTTTTAATAAGAGAAGGAGGGGATTCAGTGGGATGGGAAGAAGGTGCAAGGGTAGGAGTGGGGGGGAATGCAGGAAACCAGATCAGTAGGGGAGTGGGAGAGGAGGTAGGTGGGAGGAGGGGCAAGAAGACAAAGAAGAGGCACTTAAAGCCCGAAAGTTCCGGCATCCCTTTTGCAACGTCCTTAAAGCTTGGAAACTTTTGTGACGGGTCGTATTCTTTCTCAGTCGCGCAGATACAGGCAGCCACGGAAAATTTCGGCTCGGGCAGGCTGATCGGGCAGGGAGGGTTTAGTCGGGTGTACAAGGGGGTTTTGGAAAACGGGACGCCGGTTGCTGTGAAGCTGCTCCTCTCCTCCCGAACCTCGGCAACAGTGTTGGCAGATGTAGCTCGGTCACCGAACCTAAATGAGCAAGCAGCAGGAGCAGCTATGGTTATGGCAGCAGCAGCAGAAGCAGCAGCCGCAGCAGCAAGAGCCTCACCAAAAGCAGCAGCAGCAGCAGCAGGAGCAGGCTCGGGAGCAGGTTCGGGAGCGCAAGGCTCGGAAGCAACAGGCTTGCAAAAAGGTGTGGGAGCAGGCTGGGGAGCAGGTTCTGCGGACATCCCCCCTACAAGGGAACTCGATTTTGATAAAGAGTTCTCCGCGGAGGCACGTCTTTTAAGCTGTTTGAATCACAGAAACATCGTGAAGCTTCTGGGAATCTGCCGTGAGGGGAACTTTCGGTGCCTGGTTTTTGAGTTGGTGGAAAAGGGCACTTTGCACTCTCTGCTGCATGTAAGATCAGGACGAGAACGAGGGGAGGGGGGAGAAAGAAGGAACGGGACAGAAAGAGGGGGAGGGGGAGAAAGAGAGGAGGAAGGAGGAGAAGGAGGAGGAGGAGGAGGAGGAGGAGGAGGAGGAGGAGGAGGAGGAGGAGGAGGAGGAGGAGGAGGAGGAGGAGGAGGAGGAGGAGGAGGAGGAGGAGGAGAAGGTGCTTCCCACGCTCCTCTACTTCCTACTCTCTCTCCTCCTCCCCTCACTCCCCTTCCTCTCCCCCCCTTAGACTGGCCTCAGAGGCTCAAAATAGCACTGGGAGTAGCCCAGGGCATACGTTACTTGCATGAGGACTCTTCCCCTTCTATCATCCACCGGGACTTGAAATCAGCAAATGTGCTGATAGATAGAGACTTGGTGCCTAAGATCGCTGATTTCGGGCTGGCTAGGACAGTGGTGGTTCGGCAGGAGAAGGAGTTGGGTATTTCTGTCGTAGAAGAGAGGGGAGAAGGCAGGAAAAGGGGTGCGGGGAGTGGGAGCGTGGAGGGGGAGGAGGAAGGCAGGGAGAGGGAGGGAGAAGAGTCGGGGAAAGGAGATTGGCTAAATCAAGAGGAGAGCGGAGAGGGTGAGAGAGGATGGTTGATGGGAAGGCGAGGGGGAGGCGTGGCCGAGCGGAGGGAACTGGTATCAGAGCAGATGGTCTATCAGAATAAAATGGTATCAGCACAAATGGTATCGGGACATTTGGTGGGCACGTTCGGTTACATGGCTCCAGAATACACACTCACGGGGAGTTTCAGTCTCAAGAGTGATGTATATAGCTTCGGTGTTATCCTCCTGGAGCTTCTCACCGGACGTAAACCTGTGGTCCGAACCGAGCCTGGAGGTGTGGAGAGCCTCGTGCAGTGGGCCAGGCCGCTGCTTGCCGAGCCTAGGCTGCAGGTTCGGCAGCTCGCCGACCCGTTGCTGGAGGGGAGGTTCGATGAGGGGAGTCTGGTTCGGGTGGTTTCCGTGGCTGGGATGTGTGTTGCTGCTGATGTTGCTAAACGGCCGGCCATGAGTCAAGTAGTGGAGGTGCGTCCTATCTACCTTACAACCAAGTGTCTATGTGTCCGACCAGTGCGTGTGGGTGCGTTGCGTTCAATACAAGGGTGGCTGCTTTGGCTTGGATGTGTGTTGCTGCTGATGCTGGGAAAAGACCGGCGATGAGTCAAGAAGTGGAGGTGAGAGTGTGTAACAGTGTGACCTGTTGTGACCTGTGTGTAAGGGTGGCTGCTGTGGCTGTGTGTTGCTGCTGATGCTGCTAAACGGCCGGCCATGAGTCAAGTAGTGGAGGTGAGTTCTTTGTACCTATCGTCCAACCAAACAACTTGGTGTTTATGTGTGTGACCAGTGCATCTGTTGTGTGCAAGTGAGGCTGCTGCTGTGGCTGAAATGTGTGTTGCTGCTGATGCTGGGAAAGCACCGGCGATAAGTCAAGTGGTGGAGGTGAGTTGAAGAAAATGAGTGTGTGTGTATGTGCGTGTGTGGTGTACAGCTGTTGGAAAGTATCAAGTTTACTTTGTGATTGAAGACCGGCTACGAGTCGGCTAGCGTACAAGTGTGCGACATGTGCAAGCGACATGCATGCGACATGCGTGCGACATGCGTGCGACATGCGTGCGACATGCGTGCGACATGCGTGCGACATGCGTGCGACATGCGTGCGGCATGCGTGCGGCATGCGTGCGGCATGCGTGCAGCATGCGTGCGGCATGCGTGCAGCATTCGTGCGGCATGCGTGCGGCATGCGTGCGACATGCGTGCGACATGCGTGCGACATGCGTGCGGCATGTGTGCGACACTTCAAATCTTGATGAATACTTCTCTCCTTTCAATTGATGTCTCCCATCCCGTCCCCGCTTGCAGCTACTGCGGCAAATTCAGTCTGAAGATTCTATGGCAGCATGGTAAGCAGTCTTACATAACATTTTATGTAGGTTAAAAAAAAAGATGAAAACAAAAAAATATCCATCTTTATGTCCTTCAATTTTCCAATTATCTTCTCTCCATTCCCTGTCGCCTCCATCCCATCCCCTTGCATTGCTCTCTTTTCAGCCTCCCCACCATTCACTTCCTCTTCTCTCCTCAACACTCCCTTCTTCCCCGTACCCACGTCTCACCAGCCTCTTCCAATCCGTTTTCCGTTATCTCCCTTTCTGCCTGCCCTGCCCCTCTGTGCTCCCCAGCAAATCGAGTTGACTCTGAGTCGACTGGAAAGTCGTCTCACGAACCTTCTTTCAATCCATTCTCCGTTTTCCGTTATCTCCCTTCCTGCCTGCCCTGCCCCTCCTTGCTCTCCCCTTTTCAGCAGCAAATCAGTATCCGCACCAACAGCAACTGCAAGTGCTACCACTGCTACTTCCGCCTCCTCTGCTTCCTCTTCTTCTTCCTCCTCCGCTTCCTCCTCCTCTTCCTCCCGTGTACCCTTCCGTGCCCCTCACCCCCATCAGACCTCCTTCACCCCCACCCCCTCCAGATCCCTCCTTTCCCCTTCTCACTCCTCCTCCACTCACTCCTCCCCATCTCGCCCCACCACACAAACCCCTCTGCTCTCCTCCCTCTCCTCACTCCCTCACCCTCACACCCATCCCTCCCGTCTCCGCCCCTCCCACCCCTCCCACCCCTCCCCCTACTCCTCCCCTCAACCCCCACACTTCCCCTCTCACTCCCGCTCACAGTCCCTCTCTCACTCCCCTTCTCACTCCTCCTCCCTCGCCTCTCCCCACCACACACCCAGACGCCACCATCCATCCTTCCCACCGCCCCACTACCCCTCCCCAGATATACCTTCCCCAGCTGCCGCCTCCCCTGCTTCCTACTTATCAGCAGAGGAGGGGTTTGAAAACCCGGGTGGAGGGGAGAGTATGAGGGGGCCTGAAGGGAGTGGGGCAGGAGGGATAGGGTTTTCCCTTCTCCCGCCTGTGCCAGAGGCAGAACGAGCGGCCATGCCGAGACTTCTGAGGATGACAGTTCAAGGGCTGGACTACAGGTGAGGAAACACCAATGGGTGTGTGGTGGCTAGGGTTGAGATGCCATGACAGTGCAAGGGCTGGACTACAGGTGAGGAAACACCAATGGGTGTGTGGTGGCTAGGGTTGAGATGCCATGACAGTGCAAGGGCTGGACTACAGGTGAGGAAACACCAATGGGTGTGTGGTGGCTAGGGTTGAGATGCCATGACAGTGCAAGGGCTGGACTACAGGTGAGGAAACACCAATGGGTGTGTGGTGGCTAGGGTTGAGATGCCATGACAGTGCAAGGGCTGGACTACAGGTGAGGAAACACCAATGGGTGTGTGGTGGCTAGGGTTGAGATGCCATGACAGTGCAAGGGCTGGACTACAGGTGAGGAAACACCAATGGGTGTGTGGTGGCTAGGGTTGAGATGCCATGACAGTGCAAGGGCTGGACTACAGGTGAGGAAACACCAATGGGTGTGTGGTGGCTAGGGTTGAGATGCCATGACAGTGCAAGGGCTGGACTACAGGTGAGATGAAGCAGGGTGGGTGGTGCGTACGGTTGGCATGAGTGAGGCAGGGGCGGTTGCTTTTTCCCTGCTGAAGCCTGTGCCAGAGGCAGAACCTGCGGCCATGCCGAGACTGCTGAGAATGACTGTTCAAGGGCTGGACTACAGGTGAGACCTTCTAGTAGCCCCACCCACTTCCCCATTCTAGGTATACCATCCCCTGCTGCCGCCTGTGCCAGAGGCAGAGGGGGCGGTGATGCCGAGACTGCTGAGGATGACAGTCCCAGGGTTGGACTGGTGAGAAGAAATAGGAAGGTGTGCTGTGTTGTGTTGTGCCTAGGGTTTTGCACTGTTGCCACCAGTGCCAGAGGCACCTCAAGAACCAACTCGCCTTTCTCCTTGTCTTGCCCCCCTTCCCTTGTGCTGCAGTGGGGACCTGGCATTGTCTTCTTGCAAGTCTGACCTTGAGTCAACCTCATCGCCTTCACAGTCCTGGCACTCACAGAGCCAACTAGCCGGCCAGCCACCCGCAGGGATGGCTTCTGAGTCAGCCAAAAAGTCAACTGAGTTAGTTCAAAAGTCAACCGAGTCATCCACATTGCTTTCGCACTTCCGACACTCACCGAGCCAACCAGCCGAGCAGCAACCTGCAGGGATCTCCCCTCTCCTCACACTCTCACACTCCCTCTCCTCCACGACTCAGAGCACCCACCACATAGCACACTCTTCTGCAACCCTACAGCCTCCACCACACTCCGGAGCAATCACCGAACCTAGGGATGAGGCTCGGGAGAACCGCACTGGGAGCCACACACTTGATATTGGCCAAAGCGGGGAGATTCACAGTCAGCTCTTCAGCCGAGAGGGTGTAATTTCACCTCATAATCAAGAACGTGGTAAACACACACATACACATGGTTTGAGCACATTATACGGTGGTAAAAGGGACGGGGAAGGATCAAGTCACAGTCATTTCCCTAGGCCCAGATTTTGGGGGAATGATAGTGGAAAACAAGGTCATGATTATTTGCTCGATGGTGCGTACGACAGCTCTTGGACTGATGATAGCGGTGCGTGGAGCGGAGATGCGGCGAGGGAAGAGGTGAATGAGCTTGATAAAACTTGTTCACGTCGAGGGTTGTCATAGTATGATCCATTGGGGTTGTGGGTGCATTTTTTAATTCAATTTATGTGTGAAAGAAGTGTGTCTGTGCTCTGTATTCTGGAAGGAGCTTGGAAGACTCGTTTGCGAAGCTGATAATCTAGTTGCTTCAAGCGAAATTTCAGATTGACTGGCCACGAAGTATGGACGACCAAACCTGCTGCGCTGTAATCCCCTTATATCGAATCCACGTTCCAGTCACGCACTTTCTCGTCGTGGAGACATCGAGTCCAGCTGTGTTTCAACGTGGACGGTGCTCATGTCGGTCGTACTGTATCTAGCGCACGTGGAATGTCGAGCACCAATCATAGCTCGTGTAACTAGGTTTTCTGCATTGTGGGTGTCGTTGTCAAGGCAGGGATCGGCCTCAGAAACGTTTGGACGACCCTGCCCGCTACAAAAATCGATGGGATGTAACTGCCAGCTGGCTCTATGCTGCGCTGATTTACCACGGATTATGACGGCGACGTCAGATTGGCAGGTCAACCGTCAGAGTGGGACCCGAACATTCGACGCAGCCAAGACCCCATCCCCAATACATCAGCTACAATTGACGGCTGTGACTGTTATCACAGTGCCAGCAGTGAAAACGAAACGTCAAAGTCTGCCACAGGGAGGCTTGTGGGGCAAACAGGCTTGCGTTACCGAGCCACCCTACCATTTCTGCCGAACCTTAAACCCAAACTAGGCCGGGCATGGCTAAGGGCGCCATGAACAGCTCCTGTGTCTCGTTCGTCGTGGTGGCTATGCCTCGATCGAAACCAAATCGGTTTCTCCAACGTCTGCCCATCATCCATGTCCCTGCCCCATGTGTCTTTTTCTGTCACCGTAATTCTATACTGTATCCACCAACCGCAAGTGGCTCGGACCTGCTCTTGTCCGACGCGAAGTCTACATCATGCTTGAACCCAGCCGAATTCTATAAGACTTTTCTACGACAAACGACCAAACGACCACCGTTTCTTCTTCCAGCCTACATTTTCGACTTTCCGGCAGCGTTCATTGGTGTACAGCAGCGTGTCGGCGGGGCTTCTTCCGCCTCCGCTCTGCACGGCTGACGCGTTCCCGAGCGCTTGACGAACCAAAACCCTCCCTCCTCCCCCCTCTTTGCCGCACCAACCGCACCCCCAAACCCCCCCTCGCCCCTCCCAAGCCCAGCAACCTCTCCCTGCCACCCTCCCCTCATTCCCGAACCGAAATTGCCGCACCACCCAGCCACCCGCCCACCACCACCCTACAAGTGGACAAACTTGCCTCGAGCCACCAGGTTCGGTTCAGCGCCGCAGCGTCTCGAGGCCATCCACCAATGAACAGCAACCTATATGCCGCGCTGCCCTGTCTCGATTCCTTCGGTCTCCCTCACACTCCTCCGAACCGGGTCTCGAACCTCGAGTCTCACCACTGAGCCGAGTCTCTCCATGCCCAGTCACCACTACCCACACCACACACACACTCACACACTCACACACTCACCACCGCTGCTGCTTCGCGTTCTCCTCGCCTCACCGCTGGTTCTTGCTTGTTTGTCTCGCCTCGTCTCGTCTCTCTTGCCTCGTCGTCAACTTCAATGCTGCTGCTGCTGCTGTTTGATCCTGTCAGACCTGACCTGAACTCGTCAACTTCAATGAAGCAGCTCGCCTTGTTCTTGTTAACTTCGATTCTGCTCGCGCAGCCCTAGGCTTCTAAAAACTTGATTTATGCGGTAATAGATTCCATGCTCGAACTTCCCGATGTGCCAGCGAGACAGGTTCCAGAATTCCTTTGATTAGAGTTTCTTCGATCGCTGACGTAAGCCAGTTGGCCAAAGTAGGCCTAGTCGACCGTTAGGTTCAGTTCTGTCTAGAACGTACAGAATCACAGTAGAGCGTATACCTTAGTGCAGAATTGGTCGTTTATACTACTTGAATCGCGAGTATTCCTGTGCACACGTTTAGTCATGGTAGTCGCCACGTTGTACACGTGGCAAGCCGACCCGCTCTTCCTAGCGGCTGAGGAGGTGCAAGACTCGGCAGACAGGTCCGTCTCCTCTCCCTCTCTCCCTCTCTCCGTCTGCCGGCTTCTCTTCTTATCTCTCGTCACCTCCGCCGCAACTCCGCGGCCAGTCCTGATGGTGACTCGCAATTGTTTCGCGATTCGCGTTTTTCGTCGCATTTTTTTGTTCACTGTCGACTTACCTCGTACCACGTCCAGTCGCCATGCGCACGCCATGGGTTCTTAAGATCCTCTAGGTTAGGTCCGCTTTCGATCCTGCTTTGGGGTCGCAACCCTCTTTCCTTTGGGTCCGTTTTAGGTATCTCGATGTCCCCCTATTGCGACACCTACCTTTTCTCCCTCCCGTACCTTAAAACTCCTATCGCATTTCTATAATTTCAGGGCCAGTTCCCCTCCCTTTTTAAGGCACCTCATTGTTTATTCTTCGCTATCTCTATCTTCACTACTCCCGTATTTTCAGGCTGCAGTCGAGCTTCCACCAATGGCAGCTTCTCCTCCAGCGCCGAGAATGCGGAGACGAATCCGCCACGTGGCAAACGCACCCAGAAAACGACAACGACGGTGACTCCATCTGGCCGGTGCGGTCCGGCGACGACGAGGACGTGGTGGTTGTGACCGTTGATCAGCAAGTCGACGAGGAAGGCGTGCGACTCGTGATGCTCTGCGCGTGCGACACGTTGCGCTGGCAGCTCGAAGCCTTCGAGCGCGCGGCGCGAGACGACGAGTGGCGCGCCGAGGCGCTAGGCCAGGCGCCATCCAGCGTGAACGAGACTCGCGAGCGGCGCCGCCAGTTCGTCTCCGCGATTCGCATGCAGTTGCAGCAGGTGCAGGCCGTCATCCGCCCCGCGATCGGCGCCTCCTCGGCTGCCGCAGATACAGCCGTCGCGTCCGGGTCTTCGGTCGGAAGTAGTAGCGCGGTTAGCGGCGTGGATTCCGGTGGAATAACAGTCGCTTTTCCGTCCGGTTTGGCAGCGGCCGCTTCTAACGCGTCTAGCCGAGCAGCAGCAGCAGCTGTTGCTTCTACTGAAACTGATGGTAACCCTGCTTTCGTCTCTCCTTCATCTTTCCGTGCCGCTGACGTAAGCAGCGGCAGCTGCAGCAACAGCTCATTGGACAGTCGCCTCGCGGCCTTTCTCACGCCGCCACGTGTCGCTGCTTCCAGAAGCAGCAGCGGCGGCAGCAGTAGCAGTTTCACGATTGTCAGCAGCGGCAGCAGCGTCAGTGGCGCAACTAGCTCCTGTAGTGGGGCCGACAATATCGGGGATAACAACGGAAGTCCTTGTCGAAAATCAGCCAGAGTTTCAGCCGTAGGTTCCGCGCCCGCAGTGCTAGCGAGCTCGTCGTTTCCCCCTCCTACAGCAGCTTCCCATTCTGCTGAGTTGGACATTATAGAATCAGCAGGTGCTGCTGGTGCAGTGGCCGCAGCAGCAGCGGCTGCAGGCGCGGCGGCAGGCGCAGCGGCAGGAGCAGCAGCGGCGGCAGCTGGCGCAGCGGCAGGCGCAGCAGCAGGCGCAGCGGTAGCCGCCTTTTCCTCCTCCGCCTCCGCCGTGTCCTCTTTTAGCCGTTGGATCGCCGGCAGCCCTACCAGAGCCCTAGATGCCAGCGGCAATGCTGACGTGGCGGCCGACGATTGGCTGCGGGTCCGGCAGGAAGCGATTAGGGTTTCACTCAGTGACGAAGACGAGGACATCGCCAGCCTTAGTGCATGTGTTATTAACGGGTCCTCTGGTGCTACTGGGGCGTTTGAGACGTCACAAAAAACATTCGGGGCTGACTTAGGCGGGTCACATCTGAGCCATTCGCATTTGGGGGGATCACGATTGGGTCGTGAGCACTCCGATTCGGAGCACGCACCGCTATTCGGGGGAGGCGCAACCGGGGGAGGCGCAACCGGCAGCAGGGGCGGGTGGTGGGGGCAGCAGCAGCAGCGGCGGTGGCGGCGCGGGCGGGAGCAGCAACAACCGTCATGGCAGTGCCTTGTTTACTGGCTAAAGCATATTCAAAGACCGGGGGAAGGTGGGGCAGCAGGAGGGGGAGCGGGCGGGGTGGCTGGTAAGGGGGGGTATGGCGAGAAGGAGACGATGGGTTCGGGGAGGCTGCTGCTCGACGGACGTGTGGACATGGCCGAAATGGAACTGGTTAGTTTCCCCTTCCTTTTTTTTTCCTTCTGTTGTTTCTTTTCCCTGATTTTTCCTCGGGTATATTGGCGATTCATTGTTTCCCCCTTCCGCCTGGGAACTTACGCCTCTTAGCGTTCATGCACTCCTACTACTACTTCTAATGCTCTCCTTCCCTACACGTTCTCTCTGTCCCTCGCCCATCCCATCTCTCGTCCCACTCTGCCCCTCCCCAGGTTCTGTTGCAATTAAACAACAGCGAGGCCGCTCAGATGAACGCCCATTGGCCCAGTGAACCAACTGCCTTTGCCTGAATCCTACACGTTCCTCATATGTTCCATGCTATTCCCTGCGTTTTCCCCTTCCCTGCCTTTCCCCCTTCCCTGCCTCCCCTTTCCCAGGGTCTTCTGCAATTAAACAACAGCCAGGTCGCTCAGATGAACGCCCATTGGCCGGCTCAACGGCTAGCAGAGGAAGAAGAGGAGGATGATCAACGGCAGGGATCTGCTCACGATGACGACGCAGGCGAGAATCAACGGCTGGTTTTCGGCTGGCAGCTGTCGCTGCACCGGAAGAAGCAACGGTCGAGATCGAAAGCTGGAGGGAAAGGGGGAGTAGGGGAGTCTGATGGGGAGGAGAGTGAGGGAGGAGCAGTGGTGCTGATGGGTTTGAATGGCAGAGAGCTAGTAACGGCGCTTGTGGCGATAGTGGGAATCATTCTCCTGATACTGCTGCTGCTGTCATGGTGTGGAGTAGGGGGGTCAGCACAACAAGCAAGCAGTTCTCCGTCCCTGCCTCCTCCGAATGATTAAGTAGGGGTACTGAGGGGTGCTCATGGGTTTGAGTGGCAAAGAGCTAGTAACAGCTCTCTGCCTACTGATGCTACTGCTGCTCCGATCAGGGGTTGGAGCAGGTGAGAGGCAGTACCAAGGGGTTCAATACGGTTGCCCGAGCATGGCCCAGATTCGCTTGAGCAAGCATTGAAATGACGCTCTGAACACATTAGTAGCAGAGAGTGACAGTGGAGGCGCAGCATCAGTAGTGTGGTTTAGGGAGCAGAGGGGCAGAGGAGCACGGCGGAGCAGTGGAGAGGGGAAGAGCAACTGCAGTGTGGTAGGGAGGGTGGGAAGAGCAGGAGGACTTCATAAGTGGTACAGCATGGTCATGCTTGGTTGGAACAGGTCTGAGCAGTGGAGAGGGGAAGAGCAATTGCAGTGTGGTAGGGAGGGAAGGAAGGGCAGGATTCCATAAGCTGCCCTTCCTGCCCTTGGAGGGTAGGGAAGGTACAGCATTGTTGTGCCTGGTTGGCGGTAGGGAAGGTGCAGCATTGCCGGTACCTTAAATCCTTAGTACATGTACCTGAAACGAGGGTGCAAGTTCAAGCTTGCACCGAGTAACGGCTTTCGAGGGTTTCACAATAAGTGTGAGCGTGCATGAGGCTCCTCATTCATAAGCGGACTCGAAATAAGCCGAGGGTGCAGTTGGGGTGCCGCAGCAGCAATGCAGCAGCAATGCAGCAGCAATGAGGAGTGGTAGTGTCAGACAAGCAGAGGTGCAGAAACTTGAGCAGGAGAAGGAAGGTGGAGCGGAAGAGGGTGCATTTTCAGGGTGAATCAAATCCTTCTTAGACAGAGTCACAACCCTCATGGGTTGTGAGCTGGCTGGCACAGGCACAGGATCTGGGAAGTTGTTAAACAGTTGTTAAACAGGAGGAGCAGGAGGAGCAGGAGAAGGTGGAGGAGGTAGGATTGAGGCCCATCCTCACAGGTTACCACATGTCTTGCGCGAGCTGACAAGCACAGCAACTGGGTAGTGACAGGAATGGGGAGGAGTGGAAGAAGGTGGAGGTTGACTCTGTGGAGTAAAGTGCTCCTGACTCAACACAAAATGGTTGCCTTTCTCAACACTGTCGTGTTCTACTTTGGTTTCAGCTACCTATCTCCATCGTTCCCCACATGACATGGGTAAGGAGATGGGTGGTGTCGTGCTTATTGTGTTCACATCTAAGTCATTATAATTTTATGCTTTGTTTTTTGTTTCCAAATGTGTTTGATTCAGTATGAATGTGATGCTTGTCCAGTGTTGAAAAGCTTTCTGAGGTACAATGAAAACAAATAGAAATGAAAATGAAGGTGGATCCGTCGTCGAAACTCAAAACTCTATGGAGGTGTCTAGTATCAATGCGCAAAATTACAGCTTGAAGTTCGAACTTTTGGATTTGGCCTACCCTTACGATCAGTGTGGCACAGGCTCAAAAACCTGATTATCAGTGTGACTCCTTGTGAAAAAACTTTCCCATCAGGGTTTTCCCCGTTTTGGGAAAATATACCCTGGCGCATCAGTGTTCATAAAAAACAAACTCTGTTCACTAGTTTTTATACTTGCACTCAATGCAAAGAAACTGTAAGCCTGGCCAATGGTGGCCCAATGTGTGCCAGCACATGCGCTGTCAAGGCCTAAAATCAGGCATCTACACTTGGCAATCGGGATTCCAGGGTTACGGGAAAGGTGGGTTGGGGGTACTGGGGGCGAGGTGGGGAATAGAGTACTCGTTTCAGGGTAAAACTCGTTATGGGATCCGGGCACCCTTATGCATCAGTGTGACATAAATGTAAACCCTGGTTCATCATGGTAAAACTAGCTCCTAGAAAAATTACCCGGGGCCATCAGTGTGACCCCCAAAAACCACCCTGATTATCAGGGTATTAGGGTGATTTACCCTGATAAAATTTCCCCTGGTTTGAACGTCTTTACTGAAATCCCAGAACACCGAAAGACGCGCCTCGATTGTCCCCAGAAAACTGGGTCGCTTGCTACTCGTGCAGACTTTGGATTCTGGGATTCCACCGTACCAGTCTTCGAGCTGCTCCCTATTCGCTAGCAGGAGGTGCATTTGCGGTAAAAGCGGCGACGGCGAAATAGCCAACTCGGTGTTTAGGGTTACGCCGTTTCGGTCCACACCCCTCCGTGCAGTAACTCTTCGCCTTGGCACATCTCACACCCCGGTACTGCCATTAACGGGGATAGGGTGTTCGAATCGCCACTTGTAATTTCTGATAGTAGTGGAGCTTGAAACGGAAGGGGCTCGCAACGGAAGGAGGCCCAACGATTAATGTCGCAACGGAGGAGGCCTGAAACGGAAGGAGCCTGAACAGGGCGTTTTCTTCTCTCCTCCGCGTTTTCTTCCAGTTTAGGTACGAACCCTCATTATTTCAGGTAGAGTGCGTGATTCCCCTTTTCCGTCCACAGGTTTTGAGGAGCTCAAAGCTCGTCTCACTATGAAGCACCTCAAATGTCGTCTGGGTAGGAACATTGGTCAGCTCAATTAGGGTGACTTTTGAGTCGATTCAAAAGTCACCTCATTATAAGGCACCCCAAAGCTCGTCTGGGTAAGAGCGTTGATCAGCTCAATTAGGGTGCGTTATTCCCTTCTCCTCCCTCCACGTTCCCTTCTAGCCATTTCGCTTTCTGCTCTCCTCACCTCAGCGACATTTTTCCTCACGAGGCAGATAACAAGGCTTTGAGGGAGTGTGGGAGCCGGGCGAGGGAAGCAGAGCGAGGGAAGCAGGGCGAGGGAAGCAGAGCCGAGCAGAGCAAACGATTACATGACCCCTCCCTCCTTCCCTTCCGCCCCTCTCCCTCTTGCTGTGCAGGGTCGCAAGGCAAGCATGGAGGAGCACAAGACAGGGGAGGAGGGAGGTGAAGAGAGGAAAGCGAAGACGAGAGAGGAGCTGGGTCGCACCAATGAGGCTTTAAGGGAGTTTGGGCTCAGGGCGAGGGGAGCAGAGCGGAGCAATTGATTACGTGTCCCTTCCCTCCTTTTCTCCCTTCCGCCCTTCTTACTGTCCTGCAGGGTCGCAAGCCAAGCATGGAAGGACACAATGAGGAGCAGAGAGGTGAAGAGAGAAAAACAACGATGAGAGAGGAGCTGGGGCGAACCAACTCCTTCCCTTCCTTCCGCCCCTCTTCTTGTCCTCCAGGGTCACAAGGCAAGGGAGGTGAAGAGAAAAGCAGTGCAGAGCAGGGCAATCAACCACACGTCCCTCCTTCCCCTCCGCCTCTCCTCCACCCCCGCCCCTCTTACTGTCCTGCAGGGTCGCAAGCCAAGCATGGAAGGACACAATGAGGAGCAGAGAGGTGAAGAGAGAAAAACAAAGATGAGAGAGGAGCTGGGGCGAACCAACTCCTTCCCTTCCTTCCGCCCCTCTTCTTGTCCTCCAGGGTCACAAGGCAAGGGAGGTGAAGAGAAAAGCAGTGCAGAGCAGGGCAATCAACCACACGTCCCTCCTTCCCCTCCGCCTCTCCTCCCCCCCCGCCCCTCTTACTGTCCTGCAGGGTCGCAAGCCAAGCATGGAAGGACACAATGAGGAGCAGAGAGGTGAAGAGAGAAAAACAAAGATGAGAGGGGAGCTGGGGCGAACCAACTCCTTCCCTTCCTTCCGCCCCTCTTCTTGTCCTCCAGGGTCACAAGGCAAGGGAGGTGAAGAGAAAAGCAGTGCAGAGCAGGGCAATCAACCACACGTCCCTCCTTCCCCTCCGCCTCTCCTCCCCCCCCGCCCCTCTTACTGTCCTGCAGGGTCGCAAGCCAAGCATGGAAGGACACAATGAGGAGCAGAGAGGTGAAGAGAGAAAAACAAAGATGAGAGGGGAGCTGGGGCGAACCAACTCCTTCCCTTCCTTCCGCCCCTCTTCTTGTCCTCCAGGGTCACAAGGCAAGGGAGGTGAAGAGAAAAGCAGTGTAGAGCAGGGCAATCAGCCACACGTCCCTCCTTCCCCTCCACCTCTCCTCCCCCCCCGCCCCTCTTACTGTCCTGCAGGGTCGCAAGCCAAGCATGGAAGGACACAATGAGGAGCAGAGAGGTGAAGAGAGAAAAACAAAGATGAGAGAGGAGCTGGGGCGAACCAATGAGGCTTTAAGGGAGTTTGGGCGCCGGGCGAGGGAAGCAGAGCAGCTGCTGCTGGCTGTGCAGAGACAAGATCGGGTTTTGAGGTGCCTCAAAACACGTTCCTCCTTCCCGTCCGCCCGTCCCGTTGCTTGTCAGGGTATGGAAGAGCACAAAGCAGGCATGAGAGACAAGGTCGGGGCGGCGAATGAAAGCCGGTCAGGGGAGGAGAAGCACGCGAAGATGAGAGAGGAGCTGGGGCGAACGAACGAGGCTTTAAGGGAGTTTGGGCGGAGAGCGAGGGAAGCAGAGCAGCTGCTTCTGGCTGTGCTGGATGAACACAAAGGCTTTAAGCTGCTAGGAGAGGGGGGCAGAGCAGGGTCGAAGGGGGGGGTTGGGGAGGGGAAAGAGGGGTTGAGGAAGGTTGGGGAGGAGGAGAAAGGGGTTGCAGGGGGAAGCGGGGTAGAGGAGAAGAGGGAGCAGGGGGAGGCTGCTTTGGGAGAGAAGGCTGAGAAAGGAGCAAAGGAGAAGAGAAAGAGCATGAAACAAAAAGGGTCTGGGTCTCGTTCCCCTTCTCGTTCTCGCTCTCGCTCTCGCTCTCGTTCGCGTTCACTTTCACGCTCTCCTTCTCTCCAGCGACAAAAGAAACAAAAAGGTTCTGCCTCTCGTTCTCCTTCTCGTTCCCCTTCTCGCTCTCGTTCGCGCTCCCGTTCGCGCTCTCGTTCTCGCTCTCAGCAACGAAAGCAGCAGCAGATGCAGCAGCAAGAATCATTCAAACCTTTGGGCTGGGACGAAGTGGCGCCTGTCTCTGTTCGCCAGCTCATCGCATTCGCGCATCGCATCAGCTACACGACCTTCGCGCCACCCGAACACGCCCTAGGTGCACCTCTCCTCGCCGCCCTTCCCCCTGCACCTCAGGATGAGCAGCTTAGAATGTCACTTCTGTATCACTGTACTGATGAGAAGGCCCTTGGGATTATCCGGAAGGAGAAGAAGAGGGAAAAGGAGAGTGGAAAGGAGAGAGGGAAGGAGAGGAGAAGTGGGGTTGGTGGGGTGGAAGGAGGGGAATCAAGGCCTATCAGTCCCCGGCCTACTCCCACTGCCGCTGCTGCTGCTGCTGGGAAGGCGGCAGGGAGATCAGGCGAGGCTGATTTTGCTGCTGCTGCAGCAGCGGCGGCAGCGGCGGCAGCAGCAGCAGGAGCAGGAGGAGGAGGAGGAAAAGGGGTGCCAGTGGGCTTGCCTCCCCCTCCTCCGGGGTGGAAACCCGGAGACCCCCTCCCTTCCTTTCCAGACATTGCTGCTGCTGCCGCCGCCGCCGCCGCTGCAGCAGGAAAAGCAGCAGCAGGAGGGGCAGCAGCAGGGGTACCCCCACCTATGCCGGCTGGGTGGAGACCAGGAGATCCCCTCCCCCTTCCTCCCCCTCCTCCGGGGTGGAAACCTGGAGACCCCCTCCCAACTCTTCCCACCGCTGCCACTTTTCCTTCTGCTGCTGCGGCCACTCCTGCTGCTCCTTCTGCTGCTGCTGCTGCTGGCGCTGCTGCTGCTGCTGCTGCTGCTCCTACTCCATCCATTCCCCCAGCCGCACCCCTGCCCGCCCTTCCGACCATGCCTGCAGGGTGGAAACCCGGAGACCCCATACCCCTCCCCTTACCAGGCGCCCCTGCTGTGCCCCTGCCAGTGGCAGCAGGTGTACCTCCCTCAGATGTACCTCCCCCGAGCGTGCCTGCTGCCGCTGCTGTTGCTGTGGCTGGCATGGTGGTGGGACCTGGGGAAGGTGTTATCCGGCCGCCAGCAGTGGCAGGGGCAGGGAAAGAAGGGGCAGCAGGAAAGGAAAGAGCAGCAGGGGCAGGTGTGCGTGGTGGTGGTGCTGCTGCTGCTGCTGTGGCCTTACCCCCTGCTCCGGCTGCTCCTGCTGCTCCTGGGACGTTTCAAGTGGCACACGTGCAGGTGCGAGTGAAATTTTCAGAATCAGGCCTGGCTTGGGTCCCCTGTGTTAGTGTCCTGTGTTCGGTGCTGTTGCTGTTGCTGTTGCTCCTGCTGCTGCTGTAGCAGCAGCTGTCCTTCCTCCTCCTGCTGCTCCTGCTGCTCCGGGACATTTCAAGTGCAGGTACGAGTGAGATTCAGCCTTGGGTTGGGCCCTCTGTGTTAGTGTCGTGTGTCTGTGCAGCGCTGCTGTGGCTTTACCTCTTCCCCCTGCTCCCCCTGCTGCTCCTGCTGCTCCGGGACTTTCCAAGTGGCACACGTGCAGGTACAAGTGAGATTCAGGCACACTTCCCCCCCGACACACCCCCCCCCGTCTCTCCCATTGCCTCCCCAACAGCTTGATTTGGGCGAGTCTGGCTTAGGAAGCGGTTCATCCCTTTTCCCCACACCTCCACCACCCCCATTTCCCCCCATCACCCCCCATTCCCCCCCCCCAACAGCTTGATTTGGACGAGTCTGACTTTGAAAGCGATTTCAGTGATGCGTCTTCAGACGATGATGATGAGTGACAGACAGACGATTCTTGTGTCGTGTTATACACTTTCATACTGCTTTGTAACTACACTGAATGTGCTTGGACGAGTCTGACTTTGAGAGTAATTTCAGCGATGAGTCTTCAGACGACGATGATGAGTGACAGTTTTGTGTCATTTTATACACTTTCATACTGCTCTGTAACTACACTAAACGCGTTTGGACGAGTCTAACTTTGAGAGCGATTTCGGATGAGATGAGTCTTCAGACGACAATGAGTGATGGTTGAAATTATTACCGAAGTGTGTTTACTACTGTAACCTTTAGCTTATGATTGAGAACTGGGTTAGGTATGTTGGAAACAAGTAACTTAAGCGCCTTTATCGTGTCGAAACACCAAGTCAGAAGCGAAGCGAAACATATCGAAGCATCAGCGAGTCAACCCTCGGAGGTTGAACAACTGCTGGAGGTTACGCGAAAGTCAAAGGTCAGCGACCTTTGACCTGACAAGTAGAGCACGACAGCAAGGACAAACAACTGACTCGTTATTGAGCAGTTGCCCGAGTCGTCACTGTATCGAACCGCAACAGCAATAGTAAAACGTTTATTAGTTATAACCCTTCATATTGCCTTGTACTCTTATAAAAGCCCCAGCGCAACGTGGTTCACAACCTTTCATTAAACACTTGCGCTATTACATCAGTCCTACCAGGAGTTTAGTCCTGCAAAGATCTCAAGGGCTCCCTTCTCAGCCCAATATAGTATGAGAGCTGTCAGGACAAATTCCACTATCAAGACACCTACAACACCCTCTAATGGTTCTCTCGGCACTACTCCTACTCCACCTCCTGCCTCTGGCCTACAGACAGAGCAGGGCACGGCGACAAGACCAGCAGTAGGGTCCACTGAAACTCCTGCGAATAAACCTGCAGACTTCGACCAGAACATGATGGAGAAGTTCTTCTCCTTCATGTCCTTCTACGAGCAACACCAGCAGTCTGCACGTGCGCAGTCAAACAACAGCAACAACAACAACGACGTGACGCCCATGAGCCTCGACGGCTCATCCTACGCACGCAGAAATCAACAGCAGCAGCCTACCTTTGCTCCGTATGAGCCCCGGCGTGGCTCAGTCAGCTTTATGCCACACCCGCAGCCTGCACCTGGACAAGAGAAGACACTGGACGCACTTCAAGTTCAGTCACAGCTCGCGCACGTCTTAAAACTGCAAACGTCAATGCCTTTCGACGGGAAGGACTTCTTTACCTGGTCGTTTGAATTCGAACTAATGATGGAAAGCGCGCAGATTCTTGGCTTCTTCGACGGGTCCCTGCCATACCCAACACACGGCACACAGTACGACAAGCAGCAGTACACATATCAGTCAATGATGGCGTACACAATACTACTGAGAAACATCACTCCGAATCAGCAGCAGCATATACGGTCTTTCCGAGGATACGGCAACTCTGCAGAGCTCGCGTACAACCACCTGAAGGACCTATATCAAGCAACAGACAGCGTCAATCAAAGTCGGTTAATGGCGCAACTGACAACAGTCGAAATGAAACCGGACGAAAAGGGGATGGCGTATATCAGCCGCTGTTGCGAAGTGCGCGACAAACTCCTTCGATGCGTAGGGTCGATTTCAAAAGACGCCTTCGTCACAGTCATCATCGGCGGCCTCGGTCCTTAGTGGCGCTCCACTCGCGCCATACTTTGAGCTCACGGAAAAATATCAGAAGCAACACTCTGCGTCGAGATCCACGCTAAGCAGCAAGATATGGACCTGCAAGAAGAACGACACAAGAGGAAGGCATCAGTGCCCGAATTCGCATTCCACACTCAACGGCGCTACAACAACAACAACAACCGGCATCAACCGAAACCAGTACCTCTGTTCTGTCACCTTTGTAAGACGTCAGGTCACCCCCGTACACACTGCCCAAACCGGCAGCAGTCAACGCCAATGCAGCGGCCGCTTCGCCCTTCAAGCAGTCAAGTTGCCTCAACGCAAGCGAATCCGACCACTCAAGTACAAGCTTCAACAACATCGACGGGACAATCTGCGCAAGGAACAAGAAACATCGTCAGCTACATGGCACGACTGACCGACTCCTGCATCACAGAGTCACCACCGCATTACTCACCGGAAGAGCAACTCGACAACAGCACTCCTCGCCGCGAGTCACTTCAACCAAACCCGACGTATGCAGCCATCGCCCAAAGCGAGCCATTCGGAAAAGATACCTGGTTTTTGGACAGCTGCTGCGGACAGCACATGTGCTCTTCAGGACGATTTGTTCAACGTGAACACCAACTTCAACGCAAAGTCTTCATCACCGTCGCCAACAAACAGAAGCTGCGCACACGACGACAAGGTGTGGTGCAACTTCAGTCACGAAAGACAAACGTAATACTACAAATGTCAAAAGTGATAATTGTGGAGGGACTCGGCTACAACTTATTGAGTGTCAGTCAACTGATGGCGAAATGCATCCACCTTGAAGCAGATAGCACAACACACGAGTTCAAGTTGTACCACGGGAGAGGAGGTCTCTACATCAGCAAGGCAGTCCTGAAGAATGACGCCTTCGTCCTCGACTTCGTCCCAGATCTCGGCATAGCTGACAGCGACGGAATCGTCACCTTCACCTCTTGAACACACCCACCAGATCAGTCCCGAAGGATTCTGGTACTCGCACACCATCCCTGAAGCAGAACATACAAGAGCATTAGCAACAATTTAATCGGGAGCAGCAGAGACAACATCGGCAGTAATAGAGACAACATCGGCAGTAGCAGATACAACATCGGCAGCAGCAGAGACAACATCGGCAGCAGCAGAAACAACATCGGCACCAATCGCGAGTCCTTCAACTGCACCGGCTATAATCGACGACGACACTCTACCGACTCCTGCGCAGCAATTGAACCCAACACCACGAGAAGTACATCGAAGCGCAAACCTCACCGCAAGCTTCTACTCCAACTCCGACCTATACCGTCGCTCACCCGGACATCAAGCTGGCGAAGACATCTGGCACGCACGAATGGGACATCCAAGCAACACGGTTTTAAACAACACAATCAGAGCAGGCGTGCTCGATAAAGATTCACTGCTCCTAACCGACGGAAGCGAACTTCGACGAGCTCGCGGAACGTGCTTTACCTGCCCCGAATCTGACTTACCACATCGGTTGTTCGCTTCTCACCACAATCCCAGCACACCAGCTTACGCACCACTCTGTCAAACATTATATATGTTGTTGTGCTTGTTTAGGCTACAGTGGGTTAGCCTGTAGGGGGTACACAATTCTAGGGTTAGGTATTTGTACTGTTTTCACTCTTAGTTCATGCATTCCTGTTCAGTTCTTCCAACATGGTATAGAGCAGGTCCTTCCTAGGACCGAACTGTTAAGGGCCCACCACTACCTACCTACCTACCTACCTACCTAGGGCGCCTCGGTTTTTTCACGGCCACCTAAGGCACTGACGGCCCGCCCCTAGAGGCCCCTCACAGCCCATGCGCTTACCTCCCTAGCGGCCCAGAACGGCCCCGTCGGCCCCTAGTGGACCCGTTAGGCCCCGCGCTCACCGTCCTAGCGGCCCCGTCGACCCCTAAAAGGCCCCGAACGGCCCCGCGCTTACCTCCCTAGCGGCCCCAAAGGGCCCCGTCGGCCCCTAGTGGCCCCGTTAGGCCCCGCGCTCACCGTCCTAGCGGCCCCGTCGACCCCTAAACGGCCCCGAACGGCCCCGCGCTTACCTCCCTAGCGGCCCCGTCGACCCCTAAAAGGCCCCAAACGGCTCGCGCTCACCTCCCTAAGGCCCCAAACGGCCCCGTTGGCCCCGCGCCCACCGTCCCTAGAGGCCCCGAGCGGCCTGGTACCGCCACAGCTCGGGACCGAACCGAGCCGCGCGACCGAACTGAGCCGCGCGACCCGAGTTGCGCGACCCGACCCGAGCCGCGTGAACCCAGCCGAGCCGCGCGACCCGACCCGAACCGAGCCCCACCCGAGCCGCGCCGCCCTACCCGAACTGAGCCGCCGTAACTGCTTCTTCTACTACTACTGCTGCTACTTCTACTGCTCCTATGGCTAGCCCAAACGTTCTAGCTTTTGATGCTGAGGGCCGCCCATTGAAGTTTGACACCTGGCTAGATGACCTGCACCTCTACCTACAGCTCACAGTCAAGGATGACATCTCACTGTACGATCACGCCCTAGGCCATACCCCTGCCCCTGCTGCTACTCCTGACAGCACTGCTCGCTCACAGTGGCAGACTCGTGATGCCCACGCTCGCTTCGCTATTCGCAAATCCCTGCCGATAGACGAACGCGAGCACTTTGGCCAGCACAAGACTGCACAGGCACTGTACACAGCTGTAGTTGCTCGCTACTCCTCACCTGCTTCAGCCGCACTAGGCCGTCTCTCCCTCCCCTACCTGTTTCCCGACCTGGCCTCTTTTCACACAGTCGTTGACCTCATCACGCACCTCCGTACTAGTGAGGCCCGCTTCTGTGCCGCCATGCCCGCTGAGTTCCTTGCCACGCACCCCCCTCCACTCTGGCTCACTCTCTACCACCTAGTCACCCGCCTCCCTGACACACTTCGTGCTGTCAGGGACCACTTCCTAGCTTGTTGCCCCACTGAGCTCACAATTGCCCTCCTCGAGAAGGAGCTCCTTGCAGTTGAGACTAGCATAGTCGCTGTAGGTGCCTCTCGTGGCGACCCCCGTACCCCGTTCTTTGAGGGGTGTTCTCCTTCCCTCCTTCCCTCTGTCGCCTCTGCTGCTGCTGTCGACCTTCTTGGTGCTGAGAAGGTCGGCGCTGCGTCTGCTTCGAGCGGGCGCCGCTGCGGCAAGGGCAAAGGGGGCAAGGGAGGCGGCGGTGGGGGCGGTGGAGGCGGCGGGGGTGGTGGCACGACTGGGGGGACTAGTGGCAGCGGTGGGGGTGGTGGCGGCAGCGGCGGGGGAGGTGGCAAGGGCGGAGGCGGTGGTTGGGGTGGCGGTGGACGAGGCGGCGGCAGGGGTTGG